ATGTGATACTATTTCTTCATTCAAGCATGAATTGCATAGAAGACAATTTCAAAGACTGAAGTTAACTATGTATTCGCATGGGTTATGATCATGTATTGAGATAATTTAGTTGTTGAAAAGTTTATACAACTATGAAATTTCACTAAACTTCACTTTATGTGCGCTACTGAAGAGAAGGATATGGCTAGCTCAAAGATGTAAGGATATGACCCGCGTAAAAGATCACGTATTGAAAGCAATAATTGAAATGTAATCAATTTTGCGGATAGATTAATTTAATTACACAGCTTTAGGCGCGATGAATTACGTACGATAATACTTCTCCGAATTTGGCGTTTTTACAACAAATGGTAATCTAATTGAAGCTACAATATATGTCATCACGAATAGACTTAGCGGCTTATTGAAATGACGTCTGTATGCCACAGGAAATGTTGAAATAACGTCATAGTTACTGATATGGTGCTGCAATTCGATCTGTGTGGGTTTTAGTTTAGAAGATGTTTTTAAAGTAAGTAACGAATGGATGTTTGAATTGTGTTCGCCAGTAAGAAATTTGTTTTAGATGCCGACTGTGATTAGAATGTGCCTAAAGAAACAAATCCATGGTAATATCCAGCAAACTACCTATTTTAGACCGAAACGAGACAAATTCGCAAATCTATACATATAAAAGATTAATTTGATTTCGGCCCAAAACGCGCAGTATTGGTCTACAATACATAACTGTATTCACTGTAAACTTCTGTGTGAATACTTTCTAGTCGATAGATCATCTTTCTGTTCACGCTTGGTATAATTTGAAAATCATCCAAGCTGCGAAACCACAACTAATAATTTTGATTGATCACAAAAATTGGTTTAAATGCGCATTCCATAAAATGGGCGGATCTGAAGCCCGAAGTGAGGCAACTGTTGAAAACATGATGCGTTGTTGAAGCAATTGAAGAAAAGGCATTTTAGTTTCAGAGCATTGTACTGCTTTAAATAACAGCAAGCAAAATATGTACTCACTGAGACATGCCATATCGAGGTATTAAGGAAAGTAGTTTTGTTACGGTATTTTGAGAACTTCAGGCAAAACATATATGAATAATTCAACATAATTATATTGTTGGGTAGAGTTGTTAAATATTAATATACAGAGGTTTGGTGAGTATTTCTCAATCTAGTACAGACCATACATCAAACGTGCTTCGAAACGCCGATTCAAGTTTGATATAAACTCGTACCAGAGAAGAACGTTCGTAACCGAGTTTTATACCCTGCATCGTGGTAGATATATAACCCTGTCATTGATGAAGCATACTAACCAACATTGTTTAATCGTGTTTCCTTATGTTAGATTGTAGGTTTTCTTCCTGGTGGCACACAAAACGAGTATTTGTCCATTCCAGACGTCAATAGAAGGCGAAAAGCCGTCGTTGACCTTCTAATTGTTCTAATTATGTTTGCCGTACAAAGTTATCACGCGGGAGTACATTTGACTGAAATTCGGAAAGTAGTTCATCTTCATTATCCTATTTTCTTGTTTGTGTGCTACATAGGAAATCGTTATCTTTGGAAAGAGACAAATCATTTCTCTGTGTGAGTCAAATTGTTGAAATTCTCGCATGCACTCGTTAAAAACCGTTCGTCGTATTACGTGTAGCGTGACGACACGAAATCATGCGTATCGAACGCATAAAAGAAGTCAGTTCCAGCCAGACTGATCATTGCCTTATTTGGCGTTCCCATACGCCAACCCGGATTTTTGTGACGTATTTTGTGCGTTTACGGTGTAAAATGTGAGTCTATGTCATTCAATAGCGAAGTAAAATAGGACGATAAGCGATGAATGGGGACGAAAAAATGTCGGTATTCATCAACATTGCGGTTCGTCATAAAAGGAAAGACTGTGTTTCGAATAGCGATATATTATCGGGGGATACGTATGCATTTGAAATCCATACTGTTCCGAATAGAAAGAGTATACCTTCCTTGTTATAAAGTAAAGCCCTAGTGTCCGTATTTGGAAAAAATATCCCATGAAAACTCGCTTCAGCAATTCAGCAGTAAGTAATGTGTAGTATTTATTGCAAAATTCTTACGCCGGTACGTGCTATCAGAAGACAGGAAGAGTATATTATATTGTCATATAATATGAATATTACATACCTTCATCACAATATCCGGTTTTGCTAGACACTGTCAGACTATTCGTCATGGCATTGGCGATGTGCAATCGACAAAGTGATACTTGGCTGTCGCGTTGTGAGTTTTATGGCAAGGACAGGCAAGCTAAAGCTTTGATGAGTTCATTTGGTTCATCAGAGGGGCGTGCTGTTCAGGAAATGGGAAGCGGAAAAGCGAGGTGGCGTTGCTTTCCACATTTAGAATGGCAAAAATAGCCATGGCTTGCACAGTTGTAGTGGTGAATAAAATAAATGGACCTGTATAGTGTAGAATGAGTACAACGAGGAAAAGGATATGTAAGCTAACCCGTGATAGTTTTAAAGCTTAGCGAATATAGTTGTGCATTTGGATAATTTGACATGCTTTCTGCCTGAACCATGCATTAATAATCCTCAGAAAGCCTTTAATAAGCTATATGTTATATAGCCTATTATTATTTCAAATGCTGGATAAAATCGAACAAATTACGACACTTCAGATCGGCCGGAAAAGCCTGATCGATATATAATATTCGACAAAATACGGGCGTGGTGTTGTTATTAATTAATATTTTAAGACCAGTGACGTGAGTGGTCTGGTACGAAATCGTAAAAAAAAAATATTTGTAGCATATACACACAGAATAGTCTCGGGGAAAGCCGGAGGGCGATGTACAATGAGAAGTAGCTTAGCCAACTAAAATTGGTTCTGGAAAAAAACGGCGTCGTGGCCTATAAGTTTATGTGAACATTCTAATGTGAAGCCCACAAAGAGTTGCCAATAAATGGCTCAAACCTAGGAGCCAATGCCTACGAGGAGCCGTTTTCCTACGAGACCCCACCGGTAAGACCGTGAAATATTTGAGTTTTCTGGTCGAAAATTTAGCAATTCCTAATAGAGTTTTATTATAATAGGATTTTTCCCTTTATCGGTCAGCTTTGACAGCATGTAAAAGCTACTGGAGGAAGGTGTTTTTTCAATAATACCACTATGCATTGCGCAATGTCATTGGAATATCACCTGTTTATATTTAGCAAATACTAACAAAAATGACGAAACCATGAGAATTTCACGAACGTGTTTTTGTTAAGCGTGGGTCATGCTCAGCCATACCAGTTTTCGTTTAAAAATAGCTGTTTCTTGATCCAAATTTCGTGATGTTGTTGTGAATTTGCATCTTTTTTGCAAAACAAGCTTTTCTCCAAGACATATTTGACAAGGTAAGAGATAACGTCGTCTGCTCACTGTTCAGTCATTCCCGAGAGCCGCGTTCAGATTAGCAACGAATTAACTTGACAGCGATGACTTGCTTTACGTATATACAGCCGAAATGAGCCATTGATAGATAAATCGCGGTGGAGATAAGGTACTGTTGTATACAGACGGCGCCTAAATTTTTCTAAGGGAAAAATTGCCTATATTGACGTGATGGGTGTGGCATATCAAGTCGGCATCAGAATCAACCCTATTATTTTTTAGCATTCTATATTTTTCATACATATGTATATTTGTTAAGTCAACCCTTCGCGAGACACTGCATACACGTGACCGGAAAACGTCAATGCATGGTTATGTGTAAGCTATAAAGCTGGTTGCATCGTGTTTTTTAATTGGTTGGTAAAATAACTTTCGCAATTTTGATTCCATTGATGATGACTTCAGCAAACAAATTGGATATTTAGAAGTATGTTGTAATAATAGAACTCCTGTCAGTGTAATGTGCAGTGTAAACAGTAAATATGATCAAAATATGTGAATCCAAACATGACCGAGCGTCTGCCATGTATTTTCAATACCGTATATAATTATCGGCGGCAGTATTTCTCATACTGCCCTGGGCTATATAAATTAATATTTTTCAAAACCAATGAAAATACTGCCATATTAAATAATAACATTAGAACCAGCAATTTGAATACAGATCTCAAATTTAACTCATTTGCCCAGAGGCAATTACAAACACCGCAATCGTTATCTGTTAGACGTTTACTCAACTGTTGGCTCACGAAAATAAGTGTTTGGATGGAGGACGGTTCTAAACATATATCGGCTTTTAGCAAAAAAGAGCAATACGCGTTAACTGTGTCGTGTCGCTATGGAATGGTTTAAAGAATGTAGAGCTAATCCTGTTTACTGCACCCCGCAATTTAAAATATAATAACCGAATATTTGTGCTATTTATGAGAATGACAGTAAAGACTGTTTTCATAGCTTAGCATTGTTTTGATAACGCTATTTACAGTTTGTTATACACAAGAAGAGTATTAATGCAGCTTACCAATACATTGCAGTCACAATAACACGGTTTCGGCACTGTTTGTATAATAAGAAGTCTGATTCAATGCGAAACACTTGAATATCCTTCCCCAAACTGGAAAATGTTTTCCGCATCTTAGGTTATGTCGGTGTTGAACTATTGCTAGATAATCAACGCAGAAAGAAATGGAAGCGTCCGGTCGCTTGTGCAAATTCTTTTTATATCACGGTGGAAAAAATTAAACTATTTGACAGGACTCAGCCACCCCAGCAGGGTTATTTTGCGTGATATAAAATTACCGAACGTGAGTCATGCGTGCATATCTAGTGACGCATATTACCGTCCTGAGCGCAAACCCAGGAAACGTATTGAGTAATGTAGCGAAGTCGACGACAGTAAAGCGTAGCGGAGAATCGTCGTCTGTAATATCCCAATTCTGACGTAAAGTATTATAACTTAGTTTGAACCATAACTTAATTTGTTGATGTATTTATTCATCTTGGAATGGTCAAATCACGTTTAGATTTGTGAAAAGGTAATTTTGTAGAACTCCGCAATAGGGAACACCCCTTGTAATTTATTTGTTATCTAATTTTCAGAAAAGCGACCAACTTTAATTATTTTGATTCGTTAGTTTTAAGTACAATACTGAAGCAAAAATGGCTAGCAGACCAAAGGGATTCGGACTGACCAGAGAAACGGACGAAAAATTGAGAGCAAAATATTCAGTAGAAGATGAGCAGAAAATTGCAAATTGGATACACAAACGCACTGGCAGAAAATTTACCGGAGAGGGACAAGACGTAAGTTACGATAGAAAAAATTTAATGAAATTCTTAAATTATCCTGCGTAACTGGTAGGAACACTCCCACCATCGTAACGCTTAATACACTGTGCGATGATGATGACCATGCAAAGAGAAAAATGGTCATCATCATGACGACCTTCGCTTAGAGTGGGTTATGTGGTGGCAGGTCGTTTACGACTTTCCGTACCATACAATTTCATACAGCTGCTCAACTATTTTCTTCCACACGTGAACCGATTTTAGACCACGAGATTAGTATCAGGTATGTTCATTCCTCCCGAAATTAATATTATCTCTTAGTTTATGAAAATCTGCTGGCGGAATTTCACTTGTCTGTCTTCAGTAAGCATGTATTTATGTACATGCTGCAGTAGAAATCACAACCCCGTGTATAACATTACATAGGGTGCTCGTTTTGTTGCTTCGTTTAGGGATAATGTACGATAAATCTCAAAATTATGAAAACAATTTATGTGACTTCAGTGAGCTTTATTGTCAATCCCCAGTGTTTCGACTGTATTACTTCCAGGAATTGCTGTAACTCATTTTTAATTTCTTCTTTATTTGAATATTTTAGGAATTCAGAGATTTTCTCATGGATGGTCATGTACTCTGTGCGCTCTATAACTCGTTTAAGTATGGAAAAGACTTGAAACCTAATGATGGAAGCAAAGTTAAATTGCAAGTAAGTTATGACACTCAAAAGAATAATTATTGATTTCCGTGGAGGATTCCGGGTAATGGGCAGAACTACATTAGTCTATTAATCGTTTTTTTCTCGACATTTAGACGTTATATCTCTGTAAGTTAAGCTTGGACTTTTCATTACGAATAATAATTGTGTAATTATAAAGTCTAATCTTCACCAATAGATATAGTACAATATTTCTGAAGATGATAATAAAATATTTATAAATATGAAATATTCTTTTATCAGGCGATGAGGAATATGAAAGAAAGTGAAAATATAGAAATGTTTTTGAAAGCGGCTGAAGGAATGGGAATGAAGCGATTAGATATGTTCCAGGTACTATGTCATTCATGAATCATAAATCACATTATGGTCAATTGAGTCAAAACAGTTATACTATCACCTGCTGGTGTTGGTGAATGGTGATAGTATCCTAACATATCGTCACGCTAATAACCGAATTGCGTAAGTCATTTTTAGCAGTTTTGAGAAAAACGTAAAAAACTTCCTAATGATATTGTTACGCCATTGAGAGTCAATAATTTGCCATGGTTCAATTTTTCGATCGTAGCCGGATTTAAGTTAATTTGTATGACGCAGTTATGTGACGTCATAATGGCGCACTGTACCTTAGGCAGATATGTGTCTATGACTTGGGGACATACGCAATTTTGCAACTTGACTATATGCACCAGTCCTGAACACTAAACATTCCAAAAACGAATGTAATTCTCAGTATCTACGATGTCTAATCCCCAAAATAGCTTATCTGTTTCAATTACATTATTTTTTATGTTTAAAAATATATATTTCATCAATATAACACGCTCGGCACGCCCACCGAAATAAGACTAAGATTAAATATAAAGAATAAAACATCAATGCACGATGCACCCTTATATAAAAGCCAACCAAGGTGAATTGGACTCAGACAGTGAATATCACAAGTGCACGCCCTCCTATACTGTAGTATAAATTCAAATTTATAAGCGATAAGCTAGAATCTGAGATGCAAAAACTCGAAAATACCTCGCAGAGGTTATTTTGCCTTTGTGACCTCACAATAGTCCTGCGGTAACAATGATAATTCGTTATGACGAAACAATTGCACAAATATGCATGTCAAACAAAATCTCCATTTTTATGGGTTTCGGAATTCTTAAAATAGAATCTGAGTTAATATACAGGTGCGCAGCATTACATAAATACCTATTCTATTAAAAACTCAAAACCGCCAAAAATGACGTACGCAATTCGGTTATTAGCCTGATGATGTGTTGCTGTTTGTTTTGAAGCATTTTATACTAGGATCTTGACGTTTCTAGTTTTAGGAGAGAGTAATTTGATTAGATTATATAACGCTTATATATTATTCGATTAATATCAGCAGCGAATTTGAACATTTTCATGAGATGCAAGAGGGGGATTAGTGTGAAGAAACCTTCATAATTACCTTTGTCCTGTTTCAGCCGTCAGCTTAGTTTTGCATAACAGTCACTGAATTTTGTAGTTATGTTGATAATTATAATACACCTTATATTATTTTTAAATTTATAACATATTTTATAGACTGTCAACATTCGGGATAACCAGAATATGTCTCAAGTTTTGAGCACGTTATTAGCTCTTGCTAATGTTGCTAAGGCAAGAGGCGTGGATGGAGATTTATCTATCGCGACGAAGATAGCTCAGGAAAACCCAAGAGAATTTGATGAACAAACGCAACGAGAAGGACGGAATATCATTGGCCTACAGGTAAATAAAACGATCATAAAATTATACTTTGTAAATACAGTTGATCAAAATCCTATTGATTGTTTTGCATTTTCATATGATCTTAGCTAGATTTATTTTTAAATTTTTACTGATAGTCCTGATCAATCAATCTATATTCTCTATTTTAGATGGGAACAAACCAAGGAGCTTCACAGGCAGGAATGACCGGATACGGAGCGCAAAGGCAGATCAACCACAAGAGTAATTAAGCGCATCTTTCTATAATTACTACAATTTTTATTGGCCAGTGTTACAATTCAGAAGATGATCCATCTACTCAAGGTCTTTAAATACTAAACATATTATTGGCATATAGGCTTGAAAGTTGAAACAATTGAATTTTGAATTAAATTTATCGTCCGTTAAGTCCATTACAAGGTCATCTCCTTTGAATGGAATAAAAAAATGTAAAAATTATGATGCAATAATAAACTCTTTTATGAATCATACCTGGCCGCATCTGATCATTCTTTTATATTCTTATGAACTGGATAAAATTTGATTGCATTATTTCCATCGGCAAAATGATGCTCATATTTTACCATTCTTTTAATATGTCACTTCACTCAAAATAACAACAATTGATAATTACTGCTTTTTTTCATTTTTAAAAATGGCTGCATGAATCGTACAAATGAAAACTGGGAATTTTGTTGTAACTTGATGTAAATCTGACAATCTTTTTAGTTTCGGTTTTTCAATATTTGGCCAATACGTACTTTTCAAACGTGTGTTATTTGAATTTCATTTTCCGAGGCTATAGGACGTTACTGCACTCATTTAAAATAAATTCCTATATCTTTTGATTGACCAAGAATTTTAACCATGGGTGTGTATATAAAATCAAATGCAATTTTACGAAAGTGAACTCATTCCATTCAGTTTGTTAATATTTCGATATAATCTCGGATGTATTTTTAACGAAATACTGCTAGTATTGTTTTTATGTAATAAAGTACACTTTATGCTTCAATAATCTTTGTGATACCAACTGACAAAATTGATTTCGAGGGCCGGATCAATTATTACTAACGATCTGAAATCAAATTAGTATTGGCATTGCCTAACTAGATGTCAATTTTGCGATATAAATCCCACAAATGTTCACTTGGAGTTGAGAATTTCTCCTTTGAGAAGAACTTATCCGCATCAAAGAAAGTAGAGATCTCCTACCACATTAGTTGATTGATTCCAACTAATGTAATGCTTTGCATGAAAAAATCGAAGTTCAGATTGATAGTGAAAAACCTTTGGCGATTTAGTACATGCATCGGAGAGTCGATTGGACCATGACATATACAAATAAACTAACAAGGGTATTTCATTCCCTTTTCCAAATGAAGAAACATCTCCAATTTTTTACACCACAAAAATTTTAATTGTTGTAACACGCTCTGCTAAATTAGACTTTAAATTGGTGGGATGTATTATATTCGATGGAGATTTAATGGGCCCGATTATTGAATTCTGGAGTTGCACAAACAAGATGACGAGTTCATATGTAAAAAAGATTGTGTTCAATCCGTCCACATTCTAACTGCCAAATAGAAATAAACGAGAAACAGCAACATACGATGTATCGAGCTCATAACTACCGGAAATTCATCCTGTACATTAGTTCTTTGTTCGGCTCCAAAATTCATCGAAAATATGTGACGACGTGACTAAGAAAATTATGAGTAATGATATTTCGAAGTAAAGTCTGTGGTGGATTTAATCTTGCGAAATAATTGGTCACAAAACACTGTTTCCAATAAATTTAAAAGTTAAGTTTGAATAGCCAGATTTTCATCTGGTTCAGCGCCATAGTAGACATGCTTTTATCACAATATTCAAACTTCAAGAATCTTTCCGAAAATATCACACCTAGAAACCGGATCAGTTATCCATTTCCTAGTTAGTTACCAAGCAAAATAAGAGCCATTGCTTTATCAAATTTGGGGACACAATCTAACTATTTCTTTTTCATATTCCCGTTACGACCTAATTATCAGAATATCCTGCATGAAACGGGTTGAAGTGCGACCTTTGTATACTACCAGATAGCATTGGGGATGGGTACACTCGATGTCATGTCAGAGTTGTGAATCATCGACATGGTGATTATAAAAGTATCATATTGGTTACACTGTATCATAGGTACCAAGCTTTAGCAGAGAATAACTACTGAAATAAATGTAATGTAGCAACTAAATTGTGTTTCTAATGGGGCTGTATAAATCAACACTAAATATATTTGGCTCTCTGCTTCACTCTGACCTGTATTTAAAAAACAAGAATGAAATGCTAGAATATATGGACACGACGGCCAAAACGAAATTTTTATCGACAGTTATTCTCCTAATCATACCCGGAACGAAGCCAGAACTGTGGAACAGCTATCATCACTTATCAGTGCAGGTAGCAGGGTATCACAAACTTTTGTCTCCGCTAACCAACAGCCAAGTGGCATGCGGTCGAGGTTCCGCCACTACAAGTAACTTCTAGTTTTATTGCCCTCTTCACGCAAAACTTTGAAGTGAAAAACGTATCCTACGGAACCCAAAGAACTTTTTTAAATAAATAAAAGCAATAGCCTGATAGCGACAACAATCTTTAGTCAACGAAAATTTCAAAGCAGTTGGGCCAGTAGTTAGAGAAAAAAAGCGATAAATAGAGTTAATTGTGAGTTGAACATCATATATAGGCTCAACATATCCTTACTCTTGTATATAGGCTAAACGTAGTTTTATTGATTCTTTTATTGGGAATATAACATATTTTGTTCACTTTTTACATGTCTCTTGTTTGGAGAAAAATATTCAGTCGATGTGAACAATTGAGCTATATGCAGATAACGACGAAGATGTCTTTTTGTTGAATGAATCTATGCACTACTCTCTCACCCTTAATTCACGACCACCACTGCTTGTTCACGACTATCCGTTCGAGTAAATTTTTAGCAAAATATATTAGAATGATTTTCGCTTTTGCACGTACAAAAAGTATACTTGCTAAATAATGTTTGTACAGCAGAGTACTGAAAATATCCTGTTATATATATCAAAATTCTCTGCAAAACGGCTTCTTTGGAAATATTTTTGACAACGCACTGTATACTTAATGTATATATCAGATGTCAACACTGGATTAAGTCGTCTGTAAGTTTCGATTGAAGTCTATGGCGATATTTGTTTTGCTGAAGCAGCAGTTGTGTTTTTCAAACTTCGGAAAATCGATATACAATTTTGCAGTAAACAAGGGAGCTGTAAACCGAGTCAATATTTTTTTGAAAATAAATCCACATTTGACTTTCAGTCTCTCATGTTTCAGATAATCATAGTCCAAAAACTTAGGCTATACTGTTCAGTAATAAATTGTATTTAAATCGAACTGGAAATATGTCAAGCAGACCAAAGGGATACGGATTAACCCGCGATCTTGAAGACAAGATGAGGGCAAAATACTCCGAGGATCAAGAAAGTGAAGTAGCCGAATGGATTAAATGTAGGACCGGTCTGGAATTCACCGGAAGAGGACAGGATGTAAGTATAGTAGCAGGTTCCATTACATTTGAACCCACGACAATTGCACCTGCATACTATTGCACATATGGACATTTTTTTGGTTTTACGGATATTTGAACCCATACTAACCCTAACCCATGGGTTTTAGCATCCGCATATTGAACTCACGGATATACACATGGGTTCAAATGTACGTGCGTCCAAATGTAAGGTCACCATAGTAGCAACACGATACGCTGTCAATGATACATGAATGCTGTACAATAAATAATACAGTACACGACCCAGCGGCAATCGACAGATTGCAATTTTGGGGGCTCCCGAAGTATGCGAACCAAGATGGCGGACATCGGAATGTGTACTAGGTTAGGGTTAGGCCATAATTTTAGGTATAAATACTACGGGAGGCTCTTGGCTAGTCTTCGAACTGATAATAGGACTAAAATAAGGAAAATTGGAAAAAAATTATCGCCTAACCCTAACCTGTTACGTTCCGATGTCCGCCATCTTGGTTCGCATACTTCGGGAGCACCCAATTTTGTCCGAAATAATGTTTTAGGTATTCGTCGTCTTGATCGATGTACATCTATCATTATTCTCCTCTTTCGCAGCCTGCCCCCGTTAGAAGAATGACAATAATTGATATCGCCGTCTAGAACCCATTTTGTATCGTGACTAATTTTAAAATCATCTCTTATTTTCTGGCAATTGTGCCACAAATCTGCAGTTGTCTTAGCAATCTTAACCAATGTGCCGTATTCCTTTGCATGCAACAAAAATATTTCTTATTTCACAGCAGTGTATGCCAAATATAATTACTCTCTTAAACTCACGTATTCTAGGATTTCAGAGCATTTCTTTTGGACGGCACCGTACTGTGTGCTCTTATCAATTCATTTGATTTGCCTGGAATATCTTGCAAACCAAATGATACAAGTTGCATCAAGCTGCAGGTGGGTTTCCTTATTTTCAACAACAACATTAGAAGCAAGCAGTTAGGACAAAAACGATCCCGATTGATTTTTTTTCAAGTTGTTTTATATTGATATTGTTTTTGATGTGTGTATAGTTAGAAACGAATGATATGTCGATATTGAGATTTTGCAAAATTATATGTTTACTGTTTTCATATTTGGTTAACTTGTAATTCTACATTTTGTATTTTTTGAAAAGCTGGAACATGACAAGATACCATTCCTCTGCCATTTTTTAAACGTCATTGGGTTGTTAAATACGTCCCCTTCAAATAGAATATTGAATAAAGGCTAGATAGTTAGTTATATTGAGGTAAATTAACAACTCAGACGCTCGTCATTCGGGAATTATCATACCTGATAAATAATCATCAAGTTAGTAATTTTATCAGCGAAATGTTCAGCATTAGCTGTAAGTCAAACAAAGCATCACGGCTTTGTCATACTTAACATTAAAATGAGTATTATGACTTAATACTGGAATACTTTGACAGGCTATGAAGAACATAAAAGAAGATGAGAACATTGGGATATTCCTGAGCGCTGCAGAAAAAATTGGGATGAAACGAATTGATATGTTTCAGGTAGGATTTAAAAGTGTTCTGGTATACACCGACAAAACCCCCCGTGTTCATGTCAATTATAATTAAACAGGGTAATCTTTTCACCGTGAAGAAGTATTTAGAACAGGTAATTCAACGTAAAGAAGTATTTAGAATATTTAGGACTTACTCAGACTAGCACACCTCTACTAAATTAACCGATATATATACCACATGTTGGCTAATGACTCTGCAAAACACTCAATAAATACCATGATCCACAATATAATTTGTAAGACCTAGCAGCGAATTAGATGCGGTATAATTGGTGGATGAAAAAAGAAATACTGTTTGATAATAACTATACTATCACCCTTTGGACAGACTGTCAACATACGAGACAACACCAATATGTCTCAGGTTCTCTGCACCTTGCAAAGTCTTGGAATGTACGCATACAATAAAGGAGTGACTGGGCCCCTGATCGGGACGAAGATGGCTGACGAGAACAAAAGGAACTTTGATGAGGAATCGCAGAGAGCTGGCCGAGCGCAAATTGGACTACAGGTTCATTATTTCTGTGGTTTTCTCCTCACATTTATTTATTAATTTAATACCTGTTCACGTACTTCTGGAGACCCTGTATATATATATATATATAAATTATATAGACCAACATATTATATTATCCTTTTTCGAATTCGCAACGAGCAAGAAAATTTTACCATTACGCCCACCCACGCTACAAAAGAGTACAGAATCTGTATGATTTATTTGGACGTTTCGGGCCTCTACTTTAAAGATTCATATCAGTATATTCAACGGCTTGGTTGAGTGACCCGACTTATACCTGTACTATGTGCTTAAACGTCAATTGATCATTTTAAAAATTGTATTTTTTCAGATGGGGACGAATGTACTGGCGTCTCAGAGTGGAATGACTGGATATGGGCAAACCAGGCAAATTGTTTCTAAAACAGATTGAAGCATTGATATCAAATATTCTTGAACTAATGTTTGTTGCAACATACGTTTTGTGATATTGAACAAAATTTCATTGGACAATTGCTTACACGCTGTATTATGTATCTTGCTGCTATTTGAAGCTAATGTGAAATGTCTCTTCGTCAGAAATCGCTTTGCTTTATGAAATCTTGCGCACATAGTGTATGTTGGATTGCGAATCACATCAATAATTCTTAGATCATATGATAAGTTCTGATTTGATTAACATTTATCAGAAAATAATGTATATTTTCTAGAAGTAAATTACATTCAACGTACGAGTAAAACTCTCCATTTCTGCATCTCATGTGTATAATAAAATACCTTCTTAGGAAGTAACCATTTTTATTTGTTGTAATTGATTTAAATTAAACCTCGTCCACACTTCATCAGCGCAATTCATTTTACAGTGTATCAAGCTTTTTGATTCTAGTTTTCAGATCTTTGTGTATCAACTACAGATCCAGTTTTCATAAATTTACGATGAATTGCATAAATTGTTCGTAGTGTAAGAGCAGAATTAATGCCGAAATCTCTGTTCAAAAGCGCTGAGTATGCCTTACTGATTTATATGCTTCCTGCCAAACAGCAATTTTGCACCTAATTTCTTGGGTTTATCTCCTTGTCATTCTGGGGGTTGCAAACAATACCTAAATTTTACAACTCATCCATACCATGTTTTCTGAAGAAATGAACGCTCTATAATGAGTTTCTGAAAACAAGCTAAAATTAAAAGTGTATACTTACTTTTGAGACACACTGTAAAAAGAGTTCACGTGCCTAAACCAATATCGTCGAGAATATAAAATGAGAAGCAATTACAATAGCGCAATTTATAATACCTTGAGCAAATGCACGGGGTTGTGGTTTATGTATATGCAATCTACATTATTCGAGTAGGCCATTTATCATAATTCTTCACCATTTAATAAGGAGAATTGCAACATTGAACACAAAAGGCATTGAATAGGGTGCATACTTCGTTCGGTGATCGAAATTCTGCAAATTCATTTTTTTGAGTCTACAAAACAAGGCTTAAAGATACATAATATCAAAGTTATATAGGAAGTATAAGTTTGGAATTTGAGTCTAATTGAACTATCGAATTACTACAAACCACACTTGGTTAACGTACGATTTGTTTTATTCAACTTGTAACTGAAGTCGGAAAAATATTGCAAATCATTTTATCTTATCACAATGGTAAAAATACTTGCTATGTGCTCATCTGAGCTGATACCGTTAATAAAATGCTGAAGGTAGTTTTCAATCCTTAGAATGGTTTGATAGAATTCGGTTGATGCTGGCAACATGTCATTTCTCCCTGAAATTTTGAACTAAATATAAACAAATATGTCAAATATGCTCGATATCGAAGCTATTGTTAGTTCTGTCCGAGATCAAAAACAAAACCTCTCTTTCAAACATTTACTGTTCGAAGAACCAGTTCGAGAATACACTGTTAAAAAGGATTATATGTAATATGTTCAAATTCGATCCTATTCAACAAAAAAATTAAAAATAATTTATAGAAATGGTTTTGGTAAATATGCAGAATAGTTTGATAAATGTTGTCTTGATTAATTTTCTATCTATAGTTTCATAAGTTGAAAGGAAATCTAGTTTTTGTATGACAGTTAAATGTATATTGCCTAAAATTGCTCATTTTCAAATGAAACTGTTCTGAATTAGTCCTAGAGTCAAGAATTAAAATATCATAATCAAATATAAATCTGCAGATCATTTCCAATCAGTATATAAATATGAAGATATATAATTAATTGATACCTGTATATTCTAATGCCATATTCTTCAAGTTACTGTGTATTGTAGAGCAACATCACCCCTTCATCTTTCCTGTGTTCCATGTCAGCATGTAGTCTGGGTCTTCAATCATCATAAAACGGTTGATCTTGATTCACAGATTCAGTAATTAGATACTACTGTCTTACTTTACTAACATTTCAAAGCTTGGAGTTGTAAAGACAGAAAGAGGGTATTTTCAGATATTCTATTGCCATTTCTGCACTTGCAGATTTGCCAGTTTACTGACAAAAAAATTCAGATTTGGAAATACGCATCAAGCTCTGGCTATGTTGAGTATCTACAGACGTAGCATGGATGTACTGACGTACGCTAGTCCAACCAACCTTATACCAGAATACTGATGTACTGTTATATCAGTATATCAGTATATATATATCTTACCCTATTGTCTTATAATCACACTGAGCAATACATTGATAATCAGCACTAAACAACAAAACACCTACACTGACATTATTGAATCCAAGATGCAATACCATACAGAAATACAGCCAACGCAGCAAGTACTGCAGTAATGACAAAAGCAACCAAGATATAACTGTCGCCCGACCTACATACAGAAATATCGAAGTCCAAAAGTCTGGAATTCGTCAATCAAACGGACGAATTAGGGAGTACAGCATCAACAAAAAAGCGGTTGAAATATAGCGTCTGATTGGCTGCTCTCCCTTACCAGTGTGCGCGCGCAACATTGACTAATGCCACGCCTCCAATGTCAGTAAATATTAACGACATTTTTCGGTGAATCAGTTTACCGACCATTTTTTGCTCCTAAAATGACGGCAAAATTGACCGAAATAATTTTTAGTATAAGCCTTATAATACAGAACATGTAATTGATGATTATTTGGTATGGTACCAAACGTTGACAATTCCTCTAAATATTAATTAAAAGCAGCATCATTCATCACTATTTTTGATTTGTTAAATATAATTTATAAACGTGTGTAAGTCAAATAGGTTTACATATGAAATGATACCTAAAATCAATACGTGATATTACCTAATCTATACCACCGAAAATGTGGCACGCTTTGTATTGTTGACATTTTTTGTTTTTGAGATTAATTTTTAGTTGCCCTGACCGAGCGAGCTATATTCAGATGACGGCAATGATTTTGTTTTGAGGAAAAAATATATTCACTAATTTCTTATATAGGTATTACATTGGATATAAAAGCTATTTTGTCGCGTTCACATATGTTTGGTAGCGTTAACGCACTGAATTCATAATGTATACATCAGAAGGCAACACTGGATTAGGTCATCTGTAAGTTTTGAGTGCATTCGATGACGATTTTTCAGAAGTTTGAGTTGTATTTTTCAGATTTGGAAATACGCATCAAGCTTTGGCTATGTTAGGTATCTACAGACGTAGCATGGATGTACTGACGTACGCTAGTCCAACCAACCTTATACACCAGGATACTGTTGTACTGTTATATCAGTATATATATATAGATCTTACCCTAGTGCCTTATAATCACACTGAACAATACATTGATATTCAGCACTAAACAACAAAACACCTACACTGACATTATTGAATCCGAGATACATTACTATACAGAAATACTGACAACGCAGCAAGTACTGCAGTAATAACAAAAGAAACCAAGATATAACTGTCGCCCGACCTACGTTCAGAAATATCGAAGTACAAAAGTCTGATATTCGTCAATCAAACGGACAAATTAGGGAGTACAGCAACAACAAAAAAATGTTTGAAATATAGCGTCTGATTGGCTGCTCTCCCTTACCAGTGCGCGCGCGCAACATTAATTAATGCCATGCCTCCAATGTCGGCGAATATTAACCGGTGAATCACTTTTCCGACCATTTTTTACTCCTAAAATGACCGCAAAATTGACCAAATTATTTTTAGTATAAGCCTTATAATACAGAACATGTAATTGATGAATATTTGGTATGGTACCAGACATTGACAATTTCTCTTAATATTAATTAAAAGCAGCATCATTCATCACTATTTTTAATTTGTTAAATATAATTTATAAACGTGTGTAAGTCAAATAGGTTTACATATGAAATGATACCTAAAATCAATGCGTGATATTACCTAATCTATAACACCGAAAATATGGCACGCTTTGTATTGTTGACATTTTTTTTTTGAGATTAATTTTTAGTTGCCCTGGCCGAGCGAGTTATATTCAGATAGCGGCAAAGATTTCGTTTCGAGGAAAAAATATATTCACTAATTTTTTATATAGTTATCATTGGATATAAAAGCTATTTTGTCGCGTTGACATATTATGTTTGGTAGCGTTAACGCACTGCATTCATAATGTATATATCAGAAGGCAACACTGGATTAGGTCATCTGTAAGTTTTGAGTGCATTCGATGACGGTTTTTCCAAAGTTTGAGTTGTGTTTTTATACGGAATCGGAAAGTTTGAGTTACTACTTTGCAGTAACTGTAACTTCTGCTGTCTTTGCTTTCTAATTACGCGAATTAGATAAGTATCTGACTCCAAAACAGAATATATAGTAGGTTACGTGTTCAATTTGAGATATCTGTTAATTTTATATAACAGTAAGGATCTGACTCATTTGCCTGTAAAGATTTTTATTTCCACAGATAATATATCACAATAAATTGACTTACAATAAAACACACTCACAATCGTGAAAACCAAGTCGGTGATGAATTAGCATTGTTGCATCGAACGAATTGAAATAGAAAAGCCGGTTGCTGTATCGAACGAATTGAAATAGAAAAGCCGGTTGCTGTATCGAACGAATTGAAATAGAAAAGCCGGTTGCTGTATCGAACGAATTGAAATAGAAAAGCCGGTTGCTGTATCGAACGAATTGAAATAGAAAAGCCGGTTGCTGTATCGAACGAATTGAAGTAGAAAAGCCGGGTGCTGTATCGAACGAATTGAAATAGAAAAGCCGGGCAAACCACGATCAAAATGTCTATTTAAACGGTAACATCTTCATATCGCTCGCCAAAAACGGTACCTTTCTTTATTATCCAAAAATCTCGTTTCCCACGGAGCAATTTTTGCTCATATCTAGAATGTTCGGTACCCTTCTTACAATAATTACACTTGTTTATAGGTTACCTGACATGGGAAATATCCATTTTCTCATACACGAGAAAGATCTAGACTCAATATTTCGAATGATCTAGAAAGATCTCTTCAATATTTCGGTTGTTTATGGGTCACCCGACATGGGAAAATATCCATTTTCTCATACACGAGAAAGACTAGAAAGATCTCTTCAATATTTCGATTACGTCAATTATTATATAGAATTTGACTTCCATTATCCAAATTATTGGTTAATTTGTTACACATTCCTGGCACCACAAGTGAAATATTTTTAAAAGCACATATTAAAAATTAACCGATAATTGTAGAAATATAAGAATGAAATCGAAATTATCATGACAGTAATCAAATCTCGTAACTTTTGAAGATGGCAATTTGAAATGTCAAAGTAATTTGTTTGAAAACTGTCGGATGAAGAGCAAAACATCCACTACGAAGAGCAAGAAAAAATGGTCGAGTGTAATTAATCAATAAGACATGAGACTCAGAAACGACAAGACAAATTCCTTAATTTTGGTTATTTAAAATGGCAATTGAAAGATTTATATACAAGAAAAAAAACATGAAATTTGAGCACTAATTATACATGCAAGAATTAAAAACATACAACTTAAGAACTCATTGTAGCCCCATTTATTATGATTCTGACTTGGCAAAAATGGCAATTGAAAGATTTATATACAAGAAGAAAAACATGAAATTTGAGCACTAATTATACATGCAAGAATTAAAAACATACAACTTAAGAACTCATTGTAGCCCCATTTATTATGATTCTGACTTGGGGTCTTTTCAAATTATAAGGATGAGACATTTGTATTGTGAAAGGCATTTGAATTGTGCAATTCAGTGACAGTAATGGTATTATTATACCTTCTTCTCACCTACACGACTTTAAATTTGTTTGTGAATTTTAAGATTATATTCATTTAGGCATTACCGAAATTTATAAAAAATTAATTAACAATCTTCAATCTTAATTTTTTTTTTGTGATAGCAATTAGAGGGATTGTGAGGAAAATTTGTTTATACTAACCGGACTGTATTTTGAACAACAAATAGGCAAAAATGGAGAAATTACGGTGGCGGGGAAGTGGGCACTGCAATAAAATGGGCAAGAATGAAACATTAAAAATTAGGCGAATATATATATAAGACATTGAAAATTACGAGAAAACTACGGCAAAAATATATAAGACACTGAAAGTCGGTTGAACAAAAAAGGCGAGAATGAGACATAAAAATGGTGGGAAATTAGTACTGCAATATTTTCTTGATTACGTATGACACAGTAAATCAACGAAAAAATAAATCGAAAAACTGGCGAAAAATAGACGTTGAATTGACGAAAAATTGCCTTTCCATTTGGTGGAAATTGGGCACTTCAATATTTTCTTGGTGTTTAGATCAAATCATAAGCCTAGTTGGCTGCTCGACTGAGCTTCTTTCTCTGTTACGTGTCAATGTTTGCGCGTTACCAGCTTGACTTTTTCATCTGAAAAAGATCCTTTAGACCCCATTTGGTCATCCTCATAGGTGCCTCTGGGCGCATTGTTACAATTTTTGACCTAGTTGGTCTGTATTTACCCATGTCGGGTTGAAATAGCGCATTGTTGCAATTTTGCGACCTAGTTGGTCTATATTTGCCTCATGTCAAGCTGAAATAGCGCATTGATGCAATTTTGCAACCTAGTTGGTCTATATTTGCCCCATGTCGGGTTGAAGTAGCGCATTTTTTTTTGTTTTGTTATGCCAGCTTCGGGCTTTTTCGGAGAATATAACGTATTTCGTCTAATTTTTGTTAAGTCGAGCGTGGAGCTCATTCAATCACTGAATTTACTTTCAAGGGCATTTTAGTAATAACGAAATCTATCCATTAATTAATTACCATAACAAAATTAAACCACCAAAACAATAACAGGTACATAATTACAATAAGTATGACAGTAAGACAAAATTAAAAAACGTACAAAACAATACTAAGTAATAAGATATAAAGACTTACTTACGGTTGTTAAGTATAATCCATAATAATCTCGATATTCGGCGTCATCAGTGAGACGACTTCTGGTGATGAATAATTTCAAGTTATTATTCATAACAGTAGCGTAGCGATCATCAGAATTATTGATATTTGACGATAAGGATGACGATCGCTTGAAATGTTTGAGATCGCATTTAAAGGGATACACAATTTTCTCGATTATTCGAGACCGTTCTTACACTGATTATTCATGTAAAACACGGTCATTCAATCGTGAAAACCAAGTCGGTGATGAATTAGCATTGTTGTATCGAACGAATTGAAATAGAAAGCCAAGTCGGTGATGAATTAGCATTGTTGCATCGAACGAATTGAAATAGAAAAGCCGGTTGCTGTATCGAACGAATTGAAATAGAAAAGCCGGTTGCTGTATCGAACGAATTGAAATAGAAAAGCCGGTTGCTGTATCGAACGAATTGAAATAGAAAAGCCGGTTGCTGTATCGAACGAATTGAAATAGAAAAGCCGGTTGCTGTATCGAACGAATTGAAGTAGAAAAGCCGGGTGCTGTATCGAACGAATTGAAATAGAAAAGCCGGGCAAACCACGATCAAAATGTCTATTTAAACGGTAACATCTTCATATCGCTCGCCAAAAACGGTACCTTTCTTTATTATCCAAAAATCTCGTTTCCCACGGAGCAATTTTTGCTCATATCTAGAATGTTCGGTACCCTTCTTACAATAATTACACTTGTTTATAGGTTACCTGACATGGGAAATATCCATTTTCTCATAAACGAGAAAGATCTAGACTCAATATTTCGAATGATCTAGAAAGATCTCTTCAATATTTCGGTTGTTTATGGGTCACCCGACATGGGAAAATATCCATTTTCTCATACACGAGAAAGACTAGAAAGATCTCTTCAATATTTCGATTACGTCAATTATTATATAGAATTTGACTTCCATTATCCAAATTATTGGTTAATTTGTTACATAACCAAGGCAGCTGTAAACCGATTCAATAAAATTTTCGGAAAAAATTCCAAGTTTCCTCAAAATTTTGACATTTGGTATCACACAAAATTTATATGTTTCAGATAACCATAGTCTAACGTCTTGGGTTAATATTGTTCAGTAGTAAATTGTACATAAATCAAACTCGAAATATGTCAATTAGGCCAGACGGATTCGGATTGACTGCTGAGCTTGACGACAAGACGAAAGCAAAATATTTTGAGGATCAAGAAAGTGAAGTAGCTGAATGGATTAAAAATAGAACCGGTCATGAATTCACGGGAAGAGGACAGGATGTAAGTATTACCTCCATGGTATGCTGTCAATGATGCATAAATACTTTACACTTGGACAGAACACGATCTTATGGCAATCGAGAGATTGCAATTTTGTTCCAATTATTGGTTTAGAAATATATTATCTGGATGAGGATACATCTATCATTCATCTTCTCTAGTCTGTCAAGAATGTGTCATAACAAATTTTGAAATTGTCTCTTTTTACATAACGAGAAGATTTTCTGCCTGACTTACATGAGCCATTTATGGGTCGTTGTAACAAGAAATAATTGTATTGCGGGTATTGTACAGAGATGAAAATTGTACACCGAATATACAATTTTGCCACAGATCTGCAGTTGTCTCAACAAGCTGAACAAGTGCGCCGTATTCCGCTGCATATGACAAAATGCTTTCTTATTTTATAGCGGTGTATTACAAGAATAATAACTCTTTAAAACTGACTTATTCTAGGATTTCAGAGAATTTCTTTTGAATGGCTCAGTATTAAGCGCTCTCATCAATTCGTTTCAAGTGCCTGGAATATCTTGCGAACCAAATGATACGAGTGGCATCGAGTTGCTGGTGGGTTTGTTAGTAAACAGCTAGCGCAAAAAGGTTCCTGAAATATTTGGCTTTCTAGATAGTTTCAAATTGATATTATTTTTTTTATGTTCGTGCGTAGTTGGAAACAAAAATCAAATTTGTATTCTGCAAATTTATTTTTTTGACTGTATTCATATTTGGTTGACTTTAAATCCTACATTTTGTATTCTTGTACCAGCCACTACTTTTTTGTAAAACGCTGATGTGGTTATCAAGTTGACATACTCAAATTAAATGTGTCATTTTTAGTATAATATTGAATGAAGCATTTGTGACGTTTGGGGATAACTCGACAACTCAGACGCTGGTCATTCAAGGCAAGTTCATGTCTGAAGAATAAATTACCATCACGTCTGTAACATTTTATCAACTAAATGTCTAAGTAAATTTTATCACCCCTGTGGAATCTTAAAAATTTTGACAGGCTATGAGAGACATGAAAGAAGAAGAGATCATTGGAATGTTCCTGACTGCTGCAAAAAACTTCGATGTTAGACAAGACGATTTGTTTCAGGTACGATTTAGGAGTGTTTTGCTATACACGAACAAAAGCACATCGTTCATGTTCAAGTCAATTTCAACTGAATAGGCCGAATTATGCAATTCTGTTCCACATTTGATCATATATTCATCTGAATGATTCATGATAATATGATTTGATCTAAACTTGTGTATATGGAGAGATTTCGTTCGCTTTTGTGAGTTGTTCCAGTAATACGGGCCTACGGGGCGTCATATCAAATCACGCCTTTCACTGGCTGTGAGGGCTATTTCAGAAAATGTTGACAAGCAAGAAGTGTGACGAGTGGGCACCTCATTCATTGAACGCCTCAGATTTTTATCTGTGAGAGTATTTGAAGTACAATGTGTATCATAATATTCCTCAAGCAATTAGTGAACTCAAAATTGCAATTGCAACAAAAATCAAAAAATTCCCATGGAGAAGTGTGTGTGAGTGATTCGAGGATTTTGCGTAACGGATGTAAGTCTGTCTCCTATGTCCATGGGAGGTGATTTGAGACATATTCTAGAAGGAACCTAACTTTTGTGAAAAGCGTTTTAGATTACTGAAACTTTTGAGTACAATCATGCACAAGCAGACATTTTCGTTAGAGTTATTAACAAATTTGAGGGTGCCGTTTTTTTATGGGTCGTCCTGTACTTAGCAGCGAATTGGATGGAGGTGGAATGTACTTAAAACAAAGAAAAAGAAAGACTACCTAAGATCAATAATACTATCACTTTTTGTACAGACCTCCAACATACGAGACAACAGCAATATGGCACAGGTTCTCAGAACTTTGCTAATTCTTGGCAGATTGGCATACAGTAGAGGAGTGTCTGGGCCAATGATTGCGATGATGTAATGAAGTAAACGCTCAAGTAAAATCTTTCAATACTGCATCTTGTGTGTATAATAAAATACTTTCATAAAGTAACCATTTGTATTTGTTGTTATTGATTTTGAAACTCGTTTTGACTTTATCAGCGCGATTCATTTTACAGTATATCGACCTCTTTGATCTTTGACCTATTTGATTCTAGATACGGTATGTATTGCATTATATTTTTGGAATATGTTGACATAGTTTGAAGAAGAATAGAAATATAAGGAGGTCGCGGAGGTTCGGATTTCATCAGCGCAATTCATTTTACAATGTATCGACTTCTTTGATCTTTGACCTTTTTGATTCTAGGTAAGGTCTGTCTGTATTGTTGACACATTTTGTAAAAAAAAATAGAAATGTAAAGAAGTCGCGTGCCTAAACCAATATCGTCGAAAATATAAAATGAGAAGCAATTACCATAGCGCATTTTGGTTGCCCCTAATTTTTTAAAGATTATTTATAAGACTATGAGCGAATGCACGTGGTTATGGTTTATTTATATGCAATCTACATTATTCGAGTAGGTCATTTATCACGATGCAGAAAGTTAATTAGTGCCGCGTTTAACACGAATAATATCAAAAAGACAGCAACAAATTTTTCATTAAATTGTGTGCTTTAGAATTGCATACTTTTGTCGTAATTACATTCGTTCAATTGTGTTTTGTGATTTTGACATTTTGAGTTGATTTTGAAGGTTCACCGGCCCGCAAAATTAGCTATGAAATTTTAACTGTCCGCTACTTATTAAAAAAGGTTCAGAACCACGGCTTTAGCATAAAAATACACCATTTAATGAAGAAAAATTTGCACACTGAGTCTGCTACACAGAACTTAAATTATAAGAGGTATTTATTAACCTAAAAAAGTGGATGTGAAAATTAATACAAATCGTTCAAAATCATGATAAATTGCAAAATAAATTGCATTCTTCGTCCGTGAATTTATAGTCCATTACCTCAACCATTACTTCAGTGTAATCAATGTCGTTCGGCAGAAAAGTTAAAACTGGGAAGAGATTCGACAGAGTCTGAGACTGTAAATATTAAATGTAATAATTAAAATATTAATTAATTTCATCAAAATTATATCATTTATCAGTAATTTCGAAACTTGAGTCAAATTGAATCATCGAGTCACTACAATCCCCCTTGGTTTATGTCTAATTTGTTTTTCTATACATTGACCCCCTAAATGGGTATGTATACTTTTTAAAATAATATTGGAACTCGAGTTTGTACACTGTTTTTTTTATTTGTTTAAATCCAATTACGTCAAAATATAATTAATTGTCGAAAAATCTTGCAGATCCTTTATTATAATGGTAAAAGTAGTGGTGTACCCGAGTTGGTGCCGTTAAACAATTGCTGAAGGTCGTTTTCAAACCTTTGCATGATATGATATGATACAGTTGGTGATGGCAACATGTCATTTATTCCTGAAATTTAAAAAAAATATAAGAACATATGAGAAAATAAGATGAAACAAAGTCACAAAACAGTCACTCATAATCACGATGAAATAAAGTCTCTCGTGCACTTCATGTATGATTCATGTAACAATTACCTTCATTTTCTTCCTGTGAAGTTGTACGAGGCAAACTTGCTGATGAGCGAAATGTACATGCTGTTCCATTGTCATGTGGAACGTCTTCATGTAGGGTTAAAGGCAAAGTTGATTCCGATAGATTTGATCTTTGTGTACAGTCGGTGCTTAGTTCTTCTGCAATAGGCGGTATTTCGCCCAACTCTAATAAATAAAAAAAAAGTTAAAAAGCTAATCATAATTATCTGTTTCACTGTAATTGTTAGAAGTAATTGAACTATCTGAGGATCAATCAACCCATATTTAACTTTGTACAAGAGAAGAAGAAGGTTTGCTTGATATCAAAACTTTTCAAAAGAAAAATAGTTTGAAGAGATTTTGAAGTAGCAAAATTAGAGCTTTGTAATTACTTCTTTTTCCAATGCACTCTATAAAATTTCTACGTTGATTTTCTAATCACAAACTGATTATATAATAACACCTTATTATTAATATATTCATTAGAGTCGTTTTTGAACGAAGCTCGGGGTTATTGGACCTGAAGTGAACATATGGATAGTTTTGTTATCATGTTGTTTATAATTTTGCAAGCATTTTCTTCTTGTTGTTACCGTATGAAAAAAATCGCCTTTCTCTTTAATTACTCGACCAATTTCTTTGACATTTTCGGTGCTTAAATATTGTATTTTTTGCTAGAAGGCTATTACTTATATATATTTCGGGAATGTCTGTGGGCTCTCTGCGATGACGTCATCAATGGCGGTTCCGCCTTCGTGTTAGAGATCTTGTGCTCCGGCGAAGTCATGTACACTGCGGTACCGGTAGGCTATGGTGACCCACTGCATATCCATACTACTTTGTGTTTATATATTTTAGCATCGCTCCCTTTTACTTGGGGCCGCTTACAAGTTGACAGATACGGAAACGTATCCGTATTCGGAAACAAGTTTACGATACGGAAAAATAAAACATTCAAACATTTATATATCGCAAAAAATATTACCAAGAATTCCTCTCTGTTGAGCTCGAAGCATTTTTATTGGACTGCATTGTCCAAACTTGCAGATACAGATTGCAATGATGATTGATAGCATAATTGCCAGAGCAACAACAAATAGAGAAATCCATAACCATGAATGAGTTACTTCAGCTGCAGATATTTAAAAGATATTTGTCAGCTAGTATCAAAAATGAATGACGTAGCTAAGGGGAACTTGTATAGGATTTTAATATGGGGTTAGTTAATAATAAAAAAAACGAAGAAAACAAATAAAAGTGTTGCAAAATATGTCATTGTAATACTTTTTCGCATAATCAATTTCTCAACAGCAAAATATAAACCGGTATTATAGGGAACGTTAGTATCCCTATCTGCGTGTCCCGTAATATTATACACAAGTTAGCGGAGTAAAACCCCAACTGACTCCTCAGAGGTCATTAAGCACACAAAGTATTGTAATACCAAATGTTCGTATATTGTAAAGTTGCACGATCGAATCGCATCCAATATATATTGAAATATCCAAATCAGTTAGCAACACAAAACAAAACTCAACTCTCGAATGGAAGCCGGAAACACGTCACAATTTTAATACAAAGAACGGTGATAACAAAGAAGCATTGCTAGAACTTGCCGGGATAAATCATAATCAGGGAAAACAGGGCACTGACCTACTCATTTAATTCACCTACTATTAACACAAAGGAGTTAAATAACATTAAAATCCATAGTTACGTTCCACATTCGCTTCACCGTCTTCAAGAAGTTAATTTTTGTCTTTTACCTGCTATGTTATTATATAAATATTACCGTGGTGAGTGTTCGGGTTGCTTGAAATTATTGTACTTCCAACAGTCGAAGTTGACGCTGATATAAAAGTTGGTAATATGCTTGAGATATTAGATTTTGCCAAACCTAGAATAAAATTAAAGTAACTGATTTGAATCGTGAAATTTCCGACTGGGGATTGTAATTTTGGATTTACGTAGCTCTTGTACTTGACATTCAAAGAATTTACTAGCCTATGAACAGAAAAGCCTAATGGGATATATATTAAAAGATATGTGTCTTTGAATTGGTAATACTTGACCAAAAGTAATATTTACATGGAAGCCTCAGAATGCAGAACAAGGTAACTGATGATTAATTGAAATGGTACCAGATATTGAATTTCTTTTTAATAGTTCTATTGATACCGCTCACCACAAATATTATCGCGTGTACTGCTTCCACGTTGCTTCAGTGCTCTTCCGGCGTTGGCACAATCTACTCTCGGGCGACACCTTTCGAACGAAGAAAATAATGACGAAAATCGGCCACTTGTGCACGCATGGCATACTGTGTCTATTGCCGCATTGCCTTGTTGTAGAAGGGAAAACATAGGATTACTTATCCCTTTCGAGACAAAATCAAAGACACAAATATGTCTGCATGAACCAGGGCTGTGAAGACGGGAAAATTTACATCGACTCCGAGTCATAACAGTTTGGGCTCCGACTCCAGCTACGGACTCAATTAAGGAAAATTAAATCTTGACGATAAAATCATTGGTGTTTACTGTATGCAATCATCCTTCAATAGAATGTCAAACTCCAAATCCACAGCCCTGGTATGAATATACTGTTACCATTGAAAAGCCATTCGTTGAGCACTAGCTCAGTAAAATCGATCGTGGAAAAAGTAGTGGAGTATTAGGCGTAAATTTTTAGAAATTATAACAGATGTCGGAATAAACAACTCATTCTAGAAAATAAAAACTGAAATTTGTAAAATTAGTCTAAGACTCTTTCATTTATTTACAATTTGAAATATAGTGGCCCAATAGTTGAGAAAGAATTATTGAGTTATCGCTAACGCAAAACTTACCCAAAGTTTCAACCCCAAATCCAGGTTTGCATTTGCTGTGTCGAATACAAAATCTGCTTCCAAGGTCATGAAATCCTTTTATGCATCGACAACTTCTATCATGGTTTGGAGCACAGTCCATCTCCGTTTCAAATCTGAGAGATCGGGAGCAAGGCCGCCTACAGGGATTACATCTAAAATTTAAGAAATTGCGAAACTTTCAAGTTCTTCAAAGACTATTACTGATACACCCATTTGAAATTCAGGTTATACGGAAGTCGGTGATTTCTCCTGGATTTTTGTCTTAGAGAAACGACTGAATATTACCATTTGTTGAGGTGTTCAATTTTATTTAACTTTTTTGTGACAATTTCCAAATATAGGATGGGTAGATAGCAGATTATAGATATATAAACTTCAAACAGAATCGTTTTAGTTGTTGTAATTACATTCTAACTAGCTAGTTAATTTTTCACTCTTATTAGCTATGTTACCTCACTCATCTACATTTTCATCCAATATTCACACTCGTCCAACACAATAGTCCCCAATCAGCTTACCTTGTCATATTGTTAAATGATGCTATGAATTGATTTTCGGGACACGGCTGACACAGCGTATCACTTTCTTCAGTGCAAACTTGGAAGACTTTTGTGCCGGGTGCGCACATGCTGCATCGCCGCACTTTTCCATTAATATCGTGTATATATTGATAACTATTCTTCATCGTATCGTCACTTCAAAAATGAAGCGTTGGAAAAATTTATTTTATCTTGTGGTGGAAGAGTGCTTTAAAAAGAGGTAATTGGTGAATATTTTCATTGTACGGTGGTTTGATTATTAGATCAAATGATTAGTTAATTTAGATTCTGTCATTTAACTTCCACGTGTCTAGTGTTAGTAAATATCTTTAGATGAAATTCTGGCAATGTGGTTTATATAATCAAGGTCCGTGCATCTGGAACGATTAACTGGCTGTATATCCTCATGCTTAGCCTGGGCTATGGTGACTAGTTCGACATATGTGTCATATGATAAACACGTCTTATCTACCATCCAATGCCAATACAAACGCCTTTAAAATAGTAAGAATATATATATATATACCATTATAGGCAATGTGAATTTATATGAGCAAAATGTTCAATGAGAAATGTTGGTTTGTGTACTGTGACAACATCATGCCCATTATATAACGAAAAATGCAAAAGGCGATCGACCCGCGGGCCGAATGTGGCCCACAAGGAAAAATTGTGCGACCCAAAAAGAAGTGCCAATTTTGAATAGTGTGCGGCCCGCAAAACGAGTTTTTAATTTAGTTTAATCTGGTTCGTGCGAACAATTCCAAACCCTTTGCACCGAAAAGCCTATACCTGGTTCCAATTTATTATCTATGCCAATGACGTTACTATTCCCTGACGGCTATCTTACGCAAAGCGAACAACGCAATTTACAAATGTTACTTGCTGAGCAGCAAGCAGTTTGAGGAAAGTGCGGGAACATACGCTAATAAATTAGTAAGAAAGGGCGATTGAAGGTTAGGCAATTAGAAAGAAGTTTGAAGAATTTTACCATTAGTAGATACAGATTCTAAATTTTTCAGCATATCAGGCGATTTTGTTTAAATCTAGTCTAGAATATGTATGTCAGATTTGACAGTAAAGTGTTTGGAAATGAATATTGGCGATTTCTACCGAAAGCATACGTTTCCACATTTGAAAGAAATCATGGCTTCAAATCTTACACTTATTGGCTCAACATATTTGTGCGAACAATTGTTTTCTAAAATGAGCGTCATGATATCTCCTTATCGATTGGTTCTGACAGACAAACTTGTCGAAAATAGCTTTCAAATAGCTAGCACTTCCATTCAAGCAAATTTGGAAAAAGAAGTCAGCTGCAAATTTCTCACTGAATTCGTTTACTGAGGTCGGTGTGACAATAAATTTGAATAGCAGCTTTTCAGAAATTTATGTGTCTTAACTCGTTATTCCTGCAAGGATCCTCAATAATGTAATACGATCAATAACAAATATAAATAATTTAATTTTTTATGCCTGCTACTAGAAAGCCCATGTTAAATAAAGGTGCGGTCCACGGTTTTACCCAATCATTCGTATCTGGCCTTCCCGTATTAAAGGTTGCGAACCCCTACATTAAACAATGGCAATGCATTTACTAGGCTTGATCTCCCTAACCTGTTTCAATAAATACAAACTGATTCAAATCTGGCATCAGTCTTGCAAAGTCTCTCTTTTCGACAAATTCGTTTGTTTTCCACTAAGCTTGTTTTATTTTTATTAGGCCACAACAGACTCCGATCTGTCCATGGAGTATCAACTTGTTACTTGTTCCAAGTGTCATGTCAGCATTGTGGCAAGAATAAACTAATATTATTCAAGCTCCATTCTCCATCAACACTCTTTGCACTTTAAGCATCCTTCCATAGGTAAGATTCGTACATGTTCACCTATTATTTTAAATCTCAAAATAGAAGTATACTTTATCATGTTACCGCTCACTCCCACGTCTCAGACTCATACCAAAACTCTCTTTAGTCTCTGCTTTGCAAGATTAATCACGCAACATTTCACACGTATTAGGTACAGTTGCTGTAACTCGAGAGTCTCTCATCAAATGTGACCAATCTTTCATCAAAGCGGTATATTACGAACTGTGAAATGCAGAAGGCACTAAATCTTCAAAGAGCTGTTCAAAATTGCCTCGAGGGTTTGGGTAATTGAATTTATTGTGAATAATTATTGCACGTGTGAAACTACTCAGTCGACTTCGGTTGTTAATTGCATATAGCGGAGAATAACGATTTACGCAACAAACATGACAAATAAAAATATGTTTGTGGTGTTAACAAAGATCTGCATAACAATTAATTGCCAGTTTGGATGATAGCATCACATAGCGACGAACTCACAGAGATTACAAGATGGTGTTCTGATGGGGCAAAAATCTATCTCAAGAAGAATTGCTATATGCGCTCAAATGTTAGTGTAAGCGACATCACACTGTCACGTACAAGCCCGATTGCGTCTTGCAATTGGTGGCTGCGAAAATTGGCACAATAATTAATTGTTAGATAAGAGGAGTGTTTGTTTATCTACATACCATAACAGAATGATACTAAACAGTATCACGCCTATGTATCTTGCGATGGCGAACTCACTAAATTTCGTAGTCTAATAGGTTAGAAACTTGCAATGAAGATCTCGTAAGTTGGGCATTGGGCATAGCATTGATCGCGTCGGTGAAATTGCCACCGGAAAGCATCTTTATGATGTTAAAAATGGGGCACATGTATTGCAAGGTCATGATTACATCACTAAGACTGAAAACACGGCCGACCTCCAGCCCGTCGAAAAGACAGACCGAAAGACAGCTTTTCTCTCACGTGTTGTCGGTGGTCAGATTCCAGATCCGACATCATCAAACAAGGGTCAACATAACTGTTTATAAACATGAAAATATATATACACACACAATATAAACGCGGACACTTCAGTCAGCGACAGAGCCCCTTCCTTTTTCAGAATGAAACTCGACAAGTTTTTTATTTAAAAAAAAACTTCCTGCTCTAAATAGGAAACTGCACTAATTAAAATACCAAATATTTGTGTACCCTACCCCCCTACAAACAAGAGAAATATTTACCAGAGAAGTTCTAACATGGCAGCATAAATGAAAGAAAATCAAAGTTATCAGTTATTTAATTTATCAAAGTTATTTAAAAAAAAACTTCCTGCTCTAAATAGGAAACTGCACTAATTAAAATACCAAATATTTGTGTACCCTACCCCCCTACAAACTAGAGGAATATTTACCAGAGAAGTTCTAACATGGCAGCATAAATGAAAGAAAATTAAAGTTATCAGGAATGAAATGGGCCAAACACTACAACACAAAAAATTCAATCACAGTCGCAATCTCTCAGAGTTTGTCAAGTCGCCTTGAAACGCAGCCAGCAAAAATTTACCTCAGATAATTTTCAATCTATATCATTCTGACATTTCGCTGTTCCTCTCCGAAAATCTGGAGTCGACGTTTCCCTGTACACGATTCTTCTATGCTGAAATTCGCTTCCTTTTCTGTTCTTCAAAATAACCGTCAACAAATCTGTTCAAATCCGCTGCGTGCTCGCCATTGTCACAGTATGACCAAATCCTGGCGTGCTCGCCATTGTCACAGTCTGATGTTATTAATATTATGTGCGTATTATGTTTTTTAGACAAAAACAGGTCCACTTAAGCCGAACACAATGATGCAACACACTACTTTAATAAATCGCAGTATGAAACGAAATTAATTTAAAATACAAGCCACGCGGAAATATAAAAAAATACATATATATGTATATTAGCTATGTCTATATTAACCTGCGGGTTGAATGAACATACCGTCTGGCGTGCTCGCCATTGTCACGGACGAAGATGTTGCTACTGTGGTTGCAAATCAGAAGACTCAAAGATTTCGGATCGGTTGTTTATTGTACGGCAACTCCAAAGCATATAACAGCCAAACGGTTCCATTACATTTGAACCCACGTACATTTGAACCCATGACAATTGCACCTGTATGCTATTGCACCTATGGAATTTTTTTTGTTTCACGGATAGTTAAACCCATACTAACCCTAACCCATGGGTTTTAGCACCCGCATATAGATTGAACCCGTGGATATACGCATGGGTTCAAATGTACGTGGGTTCAAATGTACGGTCACCCAGCCAAACGGATTAAACAAAACATCACTAGAGAACTGAAAACACGATCGGCCGTCAGCGCAGCGACCGGAGAAGAAAGAGATCGAGAGTAAACCTTTCTCTCACGTGTAGTGAGTGAGTGGTCGGAATCCAGATCCGACAAACCGGCATTAAACAAGGGTCAACATAACTGTTTATAAACATAAAAAAACATATATATATATATACACAATATAAATGCGGACACTTTAATCCGCGACACTTTCTGCAGTTTCTTTATCTGCTGAACCGAGTTAGGCGAACATGAGGAAATTTTAGTATTTCAAAGGAACATCAAGCAGAGATGAGGAAAAAGAGTTTTTATTGCCTTTATTCTTTAGGCCTACGTGTTTTACAATTTTAAAAAGAATGAGGTACACATAAACGGTCACCAAATTGAGTTATACTCAATTTCAAGGTAACAATTTAATTTTGTGTAGGTGCGCCGTGCGTTTTTTTTTCTGATGATGTGGCATCGCACAAACAAAAAAATTGGCAGGCGCTGCCATAGCAAATAAATAATCATCCCATTGTTTATATTCTGAGAATAATTAGAGCCAATAAGTAATAAACAGCCCAGGGTGTCTGTTCTCCTACTGATATGACACTAACCAGCTCAGTCCATTTCCTCACCGTCGATCCCAGGCGGTGGATATCAAACTTTGTATCCTGCTACCGATTTCGAATGGATAAGCGGAGCTCATTGTTTGCAATTATTGTTACCGCAATTAAATATCAGTACAAGGTGTTCGTTCAGCAACTTCTGTTATCGTGAACAGTACCACCCACCTCAGAGCGCCGCCGGATTCCGAAGCATGTGTAAGAAATGTTTGCATGCATTTTTTGGAACCTTAAGTCCTTCATTTTAAGCACCATTAAATTATTCACACTTTATGTTTTTACATTGCCCATCTTTACTGTGACGTAATAGTCACTTATTCTCCCGCGCTTTAGTGCCTTTCAGTTTCATGGGATTAAACGAAACATCTTGGTCGGGAAAGTATTCAATGAACTAACACCAGAAGCAACGCAATCATTTGTTTACCCCGAGCTCAAGTTTCTACATACTCGCTATGCCTCAGTGTTGAACGAACTGAAGGCTTAATGTAACAAAATAAGTGCCTCTGGAACGTTAAAGTAGTTAGCTATTCTGATACCACCAGCAGACGAGAGACAGCGGTTTTATGTGTTGTTAACGGCTCTCATCTTCTCCCCCTGTTCTATGTGTACTTTTTGATGTAGAAAAGAAAATAGTATTGAAATTGAAGTCTATCTTTAATATTTAGCCATTATAGTATAATGATGCTTCGTCACAACCAGTGAAGAAAAAAAACAGTGATAAAAATCAAATAAAAAGAAAATAAATTATAACTAGCCTATATGCAGTATATACATTTGTTTTAGTTCAGGTTACTGATACCTCGACAAACTTTTAATATAGTTTGTACAATTTCCCGGAGTTGAGCAGTTCGTCAAGATACGATCATCGGATAATATAAATTATCTGGAGATGGAATCCTAAATGATTGAAGTGTGTTTACAGCATTCGGTGTCATAATTTGATTTATATTTTGCAATGCGCTGTATTGCGCATTATATAGACACGGTTTGATCGACTTTAAATGCAATTGTGGTTGCATTAAATACTCGACTGTTCATTCGTTATGGAAAGTAAGAAGAGAAACTGGAATAAAAATTATTCGAAAAGGCAGTGAATTGAGTTATAAACTTTCACAGTTTCACAGATACAAATCGAAATTTAAATATAAACATTGTATGCGCATATTTCAACTTACATAAATTATTATGGAACTTTATAAATTAGAGTGAAATAATATATCATGCAATATCTATTTCCTGCGCTGGCTGACGAATCAGTTACGTTACTTAACTGGAACATAAAATTTTGCTTTGCAAAGACTGTTAACAATTTCCTTTGGTAAATTCGTGGTTACAAAGTTATTTCTACGTTATTTAAATTTAGTTTAGCAAGTCGAATTCATTCTGCTTCAGCCTGATTGTATTATGCCATCATAATATTGATTGAAGTCAACATTTCCAGTTGGTGTGGCGAGATAGATTCGGAAAACAATTCGAATATAAAAACTGATGACAAACAATGAAAATCTTTGTAAATAAAACGGGAACTGAAGAGAAGATCATTACATAATCATCAACAAAAACAGCAGATAACAACAACAATATTTGCCTTCATAATAGGAATATAACGTTAATACACAGTGAAGTTGAAATAAACGAGGTGTCATTTAGTTAAGTAGTTTAGAAATTATCCTTTTAATGAGTTGATTCACGATATCGAAGCTTCTGGTGAATATATTTTTTCTACCCAATAAAGAAAGCGTGACATAGTATTTTAGGAGTTTGCGAGGCCTCAAATAAAAGTGGATAGACCACTAATACTAGAATCTCAAGCAACTAATAGCAAGAGTAGCAATTTGCCGGTAATAGCCACTTAGAAACTTAATTATTTCCACCATTCTTTGACCCTATCTGCTTATGGGATGTTTAACAAAACAAAAACATTTGATTATAGACGTCAACCAATTACATTTTAAAAATTTTAAAAAAGAAGTAAATTAATAAAAAGTGCAGACAAACTCAGTCTGATTCATAAAACTAGCATATCACTTAGCAAATTATGTCTTTGAGTTGAACATATTTTAAAATAATATATTCATATTTTGCTTGTTACTAAAGTAGGCTAAAACATTATTTTTAATGGTACGTATATATTTTCTAGCATACAAGAATTTGTAAATTCAGATGAATGATGTATAAATGCGGAGCAGATGTGTGTGATATTGTTGGACGAATAAATGCAATTCCAATTTCTTTCGGAGTTCAATGCATATGATGTTATCTTTTGACTACTGTCTTATATTAGATTGACTATTCTCATCGATAAATTTCAAATGAAATCTTATATTATAAATGGGGTTCGCGGAAGGGGCTTCGGCGAAACATGTAGTCGCATGGTGGCGCTATGCACAAACCTGCGGTGGCTCGTTGCATTTCCTTTTTCTTGTTCATCATACATAATCATAATAATCGTTACCCTTCTTTCCAATTCTACCAACTTTCTTATCGGGTTTCAAATTAGCATATGGTTGGTCTATTGAAGTTACGGAAGTGACTATTTCGGGTACTCGGTACCGTGAAGGGGCGGTTGCCGCCACGAGTTTTGTATTTGGGATTGCAGTTTGCAAGTGCTCCGTGATCATGGCATCGTCCAAGCTAACGCTCATAGCCATGGGTGGTTGTTCGCGAACAAACTCGATTTCTCTAATGATGTCACCGTGTTCGTAATCTTCATCAGTTAAACCTCGATAGTCAGGTGGTGCAGTGCGAGGTGCAACGATTCCACCATCCACAATTTCGGCATCATGTATCGTAATATCATGCATTTGGTCTATCATTGAAACCTTCAACTTTCTACGTTGCTTTTGTTGCCTTGTTTTTCGTAGTCCGTACTAAAACATAACATTACATTAGTCGTTCTATTTTGAATTTTCAATTAGGTTCTGAAATCCGGAGTATTTCAGAACCTAAATAGGTCATATTCAACGGAAAATCCAGAGAGAAATTATTTTATTCAGAGGAAAATTATCATGTGAAACGAAATGTATTGTAGAATCTTACCTGCCAAAAAAGATAATATATTTCGGCTACGTTCAAGGTGAAACTGATGATGGCAATTATGAACATAAACCATAAAAATATCGTCTTTTCCATCGGCCTTGACACAAAACAGTCGACGTCGTTTGGACAAGGAAATCCACTACATCTATAAAGCTCGGGAATTTGGAAGCCGAACAGTTTGTACTAAAAGTGTAAAGTAAAGCTTTCATATACTTTGATATAATTCACATAATAGTAAACAGTGAGAGTGTATTCGTCAGCTTTGTATAGCTATATTTTTACATTTCAAGGAATGTTAATAATGTGACAGACAAACGCTCTTCGCATGGTCAATGAGCTAGCCTTTAGGCTACCATACTCACCTATACTTCGAAGATATGAGTGCTGTGGGGGTACTGCTATTTTAATTATTATGATGTCAGCTAACTCTGGCAGTAGGCCTACGTCACATTGCAATGTAGTAGTGAATCATCGAGTAACGTGAGTGATAATTATTTACAAATTGAAGGCTGTATACAATATTTATATACCTGTAATAAAATGAAGAAAACTTCAACAAACGTCCTCAAAAGAACTGATGTTGTATACAAAGCATAATGCTGCGAAAATCCAGTTTTTTCTTCCTCTGTCATTTCTTTTTTCTTTGCTCTTCGAGATACTGAAGGCTGTTCTACTGCGCTTAGTCCTGCTTCATTAAACTGTGATCTGTATTTTTGAATGAATGAAGTGGAAGTCAACAAATAAGAGATGTAAATGAATATATATGTATCATAAATCGTCGAGTGTGCACAAAAATATATTAATTTACAAGTAAATTGTAGAATATGTTTTACAGTATATATGTGCTTTATTTTGATAAATAAAGTCTTGTCGTGTTTCTAAAATAGTATAAACATATGGAATTCTTACTTTCTTCTCCTGTTCTTCTTTTTGTTATTATCTTCATCGCTTGGGCAGTTTTTCCATTGTGTAGCTGCGAGCGCCAATTCTGGTTTTTGCGTTTTCTCCTGAAGTGGGAATAGGTAGATAATGTATGATTGTATTGTGCCTGAGTAATGCCATTTCAACGTAAAATAGTACTACTTTTGATTTTTTATACCGCTGTTTAAAAGATAATTGAGTCGAAACAACTCAAAGTGTGAGTGTTCCTAGAAATTTCACATTTTAAATTAGACACTGTGAATACAAAACGCACAAGTCACAATAGGACTGCACATTCAAATTGTAATTTAAAAAAATTACGTCGATCGATTATAAAAAGTTTCTCAATATCGACAAAAAGCTAAAGCCGTTGCTCATTAAGCAAAGCGGTCTCGTGGTCGATATCGTTGTTTATTCTATCGATTGAGGAGAGGATAAAGTTTATTCAAACATGAAAATGTCTGGAATCTTGGCACTTTCAAGTATGGGGCTTGCTTGGTATGCATATCAATAGATTGCAGTATGGGGAATTCTCTATACTCGACTTTAATCAGATTTCTTAATCGTTCCAAATCCTCGTTTAGGAAAGATGAAGAAAAGTATAAAGATGTTGAGATCTTCCGTATCGACACTGAAATCGATATGAAACTTTAGTTGAGACGGTGAAATTATATCGGTCGATTTGAACTCGTTTATGGAGAAGAAGGTAATACATATCTCGACTAATCTAATATTATCTGCAGATTGGGTAGAATGTGCAAACGCGCAATTGGGAATTTTCATGCATTAAACCAACAACAATGATCACCCCAAAACAACAACAGCAACAACAATTTAAAAACTGTTCAATATGTACGTATTCAGAATTTTTATAACAAAATCTTATCTAGCTCTTGACACATCTATGGCCATTCTTTATTTAGGCTTGGTGCATTTGATAACATTACCTGAACAAAGTTTTACACAATACACTTCTTGTAAGTTTCCCTAGAAAGCAAACTTGTCTACATGGAAGCCCAATATGCGCTCCACGGGAGAGGTCATTTCAATGCCAACTGCGAGCCTATGTCCATTCCTACACCTAACTAATAGTAAATATTTTTACGATTAATTGTTACTTTTCAAAACTCATAGTCCGAGGAATTATCGATAACCTCAATTGCAGGGTAGATTTTACAATGTAAACTAAGTTTATTATGGCGTTTTTGTGAATATTACCGCGTTCGGTTAAATATAACTCATAAGAGTTCAGGTATAGCAGGATATTGGAATAAGATCAGGTATATAATCCAGTAGGATAATGTTAATCTATCTAAATTAAAAGGATCACTTCGTAAGAGATTTACCTTTTAAGAGATTAGTTAATCTCTCTAATAGTTTTTCCTGATCGTCATACACTTAACCCATCAATAAGGACACATCTGTCAACATCATTGATAGGATTCAAATGTGTTTGTGTCGCGGGTCACGTGTTCACATCTCATATTCATCCCCTCACCCAGAATATAAGAATTTTGACAGACTATGTAAAACAGATACTATTCCATTCTTTACAATATTCCTATCATATGTCGACAATTTCCTGAATCTTGTTAGAAGCGAATTTAGTCTGCTAGTTTTTGTAAGGTTATAATGCAACGACGATACGGATTTTTCGAAGCAGGGGTCGCAGTCAAAATTTTTATTATTGAGAGTCGAAGGCAATAAAAAATTTTCAACTCGAAGTTAGGAGTCGATCATAAATTACCCGCAGTCCTGGAAAAAATGATACCATGCCACTTGCGATTGTGCGATGCTTGACTATATACCAACATATTTGGTGAGAAACACAAGGATGGGAAAAACGTCATTCGTTTTGAAAATTTTAAACGCGTAATATATTTGTATTTGAGACAGAAATAGATACGCGTTTTTAATTTACTTCTTGAGAACATAGATCACGATCTATGGATTTTTAGGCGGCAGGTGGTTTTATCTTTGAATTTTATTTAATATTCTAAAATCCTTGTTTATATTTTGGGGAAATAACATCTGAATTTTGAATGAAAGTTGTATGGAAACTTTGTCAGCAAAACACAATTTTGACGTCTACACTAATTTTCATCTTTACTGCAATATAGACAATAAGTGTTTTAGCACTCAGAAGTGCATTAATCTGCTGGGTTAATTATTTTGGCTTTACCGAGCTCAAAATGCTTCTCATTTCGACTTTGCAATGCATAAATGATTACTCTCACGCTATTATGCTATGAAAATCAAAGTATACTTTTATACACTTTTGAAAATTTTTGTAATATATTCACTTTTTCAATATTTGAATTTTACTTGAATATTTTTATTATGTAGCGTCAAAGTTTCTCACTGAAGAACTGATAATGATGACTACGACTACTTTGTCGACGTGATATTTCTTTTGCCGCAGGCCCTTTAGGTATTCATCACGGCCCAACCTTCAAGTCCACAAGTCTGATTACCCGATTTGGTGCAAAAATGTGTTGACCAGAAGTAATAATTGCAAATAATTGATTGATAAAAGCAAATAATTGATATTTACTTGGAGCTAGGTCGCTGATTCTAAATTAGTTTTTATTTTTGTCCTGGAACATCGTGGCAAAATCGACGAAATGTATATTTTGTCGGATTTACATTATCTCGAGCAATTAAAAATTCGAATGCCTATGTGAGATAATCAATAAGTAATTTGGTACTCGAGACACTTGAGATTATACTTTTACTCTTACAATGCAAATTGCGAATAATAAAAAGTAAATCCAAACTAATCTGTATGCTGAACGTGTTTTACATTACAAAATAAGGATTTTAATTACTTGTAATTACAGTACAAAATTCTTATAATGATTTATCTCCCACGAGATTCAGTTTGCATAACGTGAAATAATGTATCTCTGTGACCCGGATTCACCCTTAGTAGCTTTTGTTTCCATTTTTTGTTGTTGTATTAGGCCCAGTGCATGTTTTGCCAACAAAAAATGTTCCGTATTGTTTCAGGTTTTCCTTCTCTACTTTGTCATTTCAGGCAATGGAGTAAAGTTACAAATAGGGCCGACACTTTGATTCGTCATTCGAATCATATATTCAAACTTTCATTTCATATTCAAAAATATTCAATTCTGCGTCTGAGACAGTCAATTTACACACATAAACCAGATGGAGTTTGGGCCGGCATCAGCTCCAAAAGTATGTGCACCAAGATGGCGCACAATGAAACTGATGCCACCAATCAAGCTCGGCCTTCTCTCTTTGGAGTGATTCTTGGGGAAATAGCTGTACAATGATTGTTTTATATATATTCGTTATTTAATTTTGCGACCATAAAAGATCTTCGTTTCGTTTCCTATTAGAGCATCGTCTTGGGTCGCGAGACTTAACAAAGTTTACTTTTCAAAAAAATTTAATCGTTTGAAAAAAAGGTTGGAAACCACATAAGAATATGTGACGAAGCAACGAATCACCAAAATCGCGTATTCTTCATCTAGAAGTTTTTGAACCAGGGGCCAAAAATTTTGCACACCTAGACTGGCGAGCCATGTGAGTGTGTTGTAAAAAGTTTCATTTTATGAACAATATTTACAGTGTTACAAAAGCAATCGTGGAAAACAATAGACCTCGTGCGAAAACTGAATTTTATCGCGATCTCAACAAATTCCTTGAGCTATTTTCAGCTAAAACATTAAAATTTGGTGTCAGCTTGGTCGTGGCAGCACCAGACGGGCCAGATTGAATCACCCAACGGGCCGGATTTGGCCCGCGGGCCGTACTTTGCCCATGTCCGATCTTGACTCATTTTAGCCACCTTACAACAAATCGAAGCGCGCATGTCATACCCGTTTTTTGATTAAATCCCATTTTATATCGTCATTAGTTGAGACAGAAAACATCACTCCAAGTGTTGCAAGTCGTGTTTAATCTGTCCCTCCAGATTAAAGTCGACCGCCAATCGATATAAAAGCGTTTCCTAAACGTCCTGACGGTTCGCCGAAACAATTTAATGGTAAGTTTTTGGAATTTTATATCGATTTTTCCGACACATTGTGCGCTAATTTTGACATCGCATTTCTGACGGCATGACCAATATCCCTACGTTATATTTTACACGAGAATTTACACGATGTAAACGTTTTACGATAAAATACACGACAAACGCGCATGGGATAATTCAAAATCAAAAAGTGCGCTTCATCTAATGTTTACGCAAGCGAAATAGATTAATATGAGAGTCCCATGTGTCTGCCCACCCTAATCGCTCTTTTTGGACCAGTAATCGCTTGAAATTCGTGCATGTCAGGGTTTGGCAAATTCTTCTCTGCGCCGCGCTGGTATGATTTCAGAAGTGTCAATTTGCTGTGTTAGTTTAGCAAATCTCCGCGCCATATTAGTAGCGTGATAAGTATTTCGATTTGGATCTAAATTTTATTCCATACAGGCACGGAATTATGAATGCCTCAGGCTATGGCCCTCAAAGCGGTGTATTTGAAAGGGTCTAAATGAAAAGTATATATAGAAATAATTATTCAGCAATAGATAGATACATCATTATCAGTCACTCTCTTGAAAATTTACTGATACGGACACACACATCCCTATAAAAGGCATTATGGTGTCACTTGTTGCGTGGGATGGTATAGCATCGTACATATTCGCCCTTCGATATTTTGAGCATGCAGGGGAACGTAATTCAACCCACAAATAGTCATTGTTGTGCCTGGGTCGGGTAAAAAAATAACCACCATTCTTTACAGTTGTTGTAAGTGAGGCATATGTGCCATAATATGACAAATACCCATTATATTCAAACCATAAATGCTTTCAACTACTCGTCATGCGGCATCTGTTAATGGTTGTGCTCGTTTGTGCGTAAATTATCGCGTAATATAATTTTCTAGACTGCGCAAAATAAACCAATTCTATTGGGCTGTATGCGTACATTGGTCGCGACATAATTTTATCAAGTATATCCTCATATGTAATTACATCTCTGAATTATAAAATACAAAACATGTTTTAACACATTGTATTTAACAACTGGACACGACTTGAATTTTCAGAAGATAACTATCCTATGTTCGGTGTATGCAAAACATGAGATATCCTATGTATCCTAAGCGTATATCTATTTTAGACATTTTGTAAGGAGCTTATTTTTTCTATTTTAGATAGATTCAGTATATATACTTTCAGTTTTTCATGAATGTTATTTTCTCGTTTTTTTAACCTTTTTATATCACTTGAGACGCACACACAATAGAAAAGGTCAAATTCCAATCTTATTGTATAGTTGGATGTTTCCCACGATAACTATTTATAAAGAATCAAATTGGCTGTCTCCATAGTAACTTTTATTAATGAAGGTTGCCTTGGTATTAACATTGTAATTGGCTCGGATGTAGTTTTTAATCTCATGTTTAACTCTTTTGTACATTAATCCACAGTTTTAACAACACAGAATGACAACTGTAATATTAATCTAAAAATAACATTTCAGCTGATCTAAATATATAATTTTTAAAATAGAACTATAATTTTTAGGATATTATGTCTGTGCTCACTTCTTCTGCTTCTTTATGGGTTACGAATTCAACCGCAATTTGATAATTTTAGATTGGTGTATTCTATTGATAAAAACGTGTTACGGTTGAACAATGGAGAAATAAAATAACATAAATAGAATTGCTTGAATTTCCCATCACGCATATTGTATATAATACATGTAAATTGCGTGCATTCCCATAATCGTAGAGTCGGCAACCGAACAAGAGACGTGGTTCGCTATATGATTAGGGCTTATACCTACATTCTCATAACTGGAATAAATATGAACCCAACTATTATATTTTCTCTAATTAGAGGCATTGAAATGCATCAATTCCAATGATTATTCAATTAAATGTAGAGTGTCAGTGAACAAAAGCCTAATTTACATTAAAACGTATCACCTTCTTATAATGTATCGGTGTCAACGACACATTTCATCAAATCTGGACCATGTATCAGACCAACACCTCGGTATTAGATAATATTCAAATGAAAGGAAATTCAGCGTTTCTATGACAAGTAAACACATTTGATGTAAAAGAAAAGATGCACAACATTCAATAGATTGTTTAAAAACAGAAGTTCAAGCTCAGCATGTTAGTTTTTGCTTATATCTACCTGTAACCTAGTATCGCCATAGTGGAAACAACACTTTTCAGTCGAGTTCGCGTTAATCGATAGATAAGAATGACGGGAACAATTCCACTACCTGAGACGGGAATTACAACATCACAAAAGGCTTATTGAATTGAACCTGGAAACGTACTCTGGTACGCCCCGTCATCAAATATTCATGTAATTTTGACTACATAGTCCAATATTTATTGCGGGTGGGCAAAACTTTATAGCTTTTTGGACACATCGACGAGAAATCTATTGTTAAAATAATCCCGGACAGTTTTTATTTAAATTTGAAATAAAATTTAACATGATGTAATCTTAATCTGCGTTTACATGATGAGCAAATATATCCAAAATGTCTTCAAAACATCAGCACTACTTCACCGAGTCTTGCTTTTCCAAACTTTACATTCTACCTTGTGGTTTTGCATATCGACAGATTAGTATTCGGGATTAAATATGAATGCGGGTAGTAAAATATGTTGGTTTGCGAAATAAAGACACAAATACCACGCGACGGTATAGCTGGTATAATAGCTTGCAGGAAATCATTTGGAGATCCGCAATATGATATCTCATCGATTCATATTTTCATATTGAATGACACAGTTGAAAACAAATGCCAGACATATGGGTTACTAAATTTGTGCCAGAATGGTTGCATCCTGCATAACAAGATTTTAAATGAATCATAGTTGAGATAAGCGAACCTTGATCCAGTAACGTGAGAAACTGAATCATCGGATGCCGATAACAAATTTATATCGCTAGAATGGTGAATACTGATGCTCTGATTTCCCCAAACACCCAAGTCAGTTTGGTTAGACGCATGCTGCCCCTGTTTATGTTATTTGGCTATATGGTGGCTCGGAAATAGATTTTGGAATAAGGCGAAGATCGTCGTGTGGTACAAACTCTATTTAACCCAATTTGGGATCAGGTCATAAACTCCCGAGTTTGGGTCGAGCCAATTTGCTGAAAGAACTCAGGCCAAGTCCAAATGAAATATTCCTGAAGTTACTTGAGGAAAAATCATCCTTCGAAAAATTTATATTCTTTTACGATTCAAGTTGTGCAACCCCTTTTAGCACGACCAAAGCATCAAAAAATGTTTGTCCAGTAGGAGGTAATAACATCGACAGCTCGATTTCCCCTAACGCATTTCATTTGATTACAGATTGGCAATGACAAATGCCTTGCGGCTCTTCAAATCTTTGTCCTGTGACACTCACTAACTATACTTTGTAATTATACCGATTGATGTAAGATAAGTTGTAAATTTTAATTTAGACAATAGAAATTGGCAATACCAATCAGGTTCCAATATTTGAATTTTGTTTTATTAACCACTGGCGGTTATGGCGAGGACATTAGATATATACAGTGTTTCATTACGTTTTTTTATTAGTGATTCGGAACTAGCGTACCTTTGCATTAATATGGAAAATATTTTAAAATAGGCTTTCGCGTTCAAACGACCATGCTACTGAATTTCGTTCACCGAGTCGAATGATAATACCATAATTAAATATCACAAAATATATGAAAAACAAACAGTGAGGTAAACTTAATAAAGGGACCTACTGAAGTATGCGCACCAAGATGGCGCACAACTTGAACTCAGGTTGTGTACCAGGTTAGGGTTCAAGTTGTGCGACATCTTGGTGCGCATACTTCAGGAGTACTTAATAAAGAATAAATGAACCTACCGGAGATACTGGAGAGTTGTTGCTCGAAGTTTTTTCTTTTGCGGTTTTCTTTTTTATTTTGTGCGCAGAGTAAACCATGAAAACGATAGAAGGCGTGGTTACCATTATAATTTGGAAGCTCCAAAAGCGAATGTGTGATATTGGAGAAAATTTATTGAAGCAAATATTAGGACACCCGACCTGAAAGAGTATAGGTTAGAATAAAATTATTGTCATTAACATTGTTCAGTTGGCAATCCATTCGAGGCACAACTGATACCCAAATAATTACACGAATATTTTGCTTGCTGCTTATAAATGCTTCTTAAAATATAGATTCTTATCTGAAAATGTAATTCATCAATCTAGAATTCAATTTACTATTCGGTTTTTCGTACCAATTTCTTACAAATTAAATCTGTCCAGACAAATCTTTGTCGTTGACAAATAAACAAAATGGCGGAAATAACGATGAATCGCAGTCATAATGTTTTTTTTTTTTTTTTTAAATCCAACAAAATGTCTTTTTGCCGCGCCGGTTTTCGGTAAATGTACTCCATATATTACAAGGTTAAAATATGATATTTCAAAAGTGATACATCGTAAAACTACAACTGCTTAAAATTTTATAGTTTTCCAAAATTTGAAATATTACTCTATTCTATATTGAATTACATCCGATTGTCTTACCTGCATAGTATTACATTTGAATTCAGACTGTTCATCTGAATATACCCTGTCACCGATGCTTGAAACCACGACTATCCTGAATACGATCAGAAAAGTGATCCAAAATTTGCCTATGAGTGTGGAATGCTGGTTGACCTTTTGGAGCCATCTTTCAACGAAATGCCAAGACATTTCAGTTTACAGTGAAATTGTCCGTAGTTATATAAAATAAGCTAATAGGCTAATTATAACTGCAAACCAAAAATGAATGAATAATCAATTGTATTCCTTTCATTTGATGTTAGGTTTATTATTTTGTAACATTTTGGAAATAGTTTTTATATCGATGATGGAAATCGTTATCATATGAAAATTCACTGTTTATTTTATATAGATAACAGGCAAATTTGCCATTTTTATACATTTTTTTGTAAAGCAAGTTTTCACTCTCTTTTTATCAGTTCAATTTTTGTCGTATTATCTTTTGTTGTCTATACCTAGGTCAGTCGCTAAATAATGCATTATGCATAGAGGTGACGGAGATTGGCAATCTAGAAAATAAACAAGATGATTGCTGGATTGTATCAATCAATTCATTGCCATGTTGTAACAATAAATACAGGTATAAACGCGAGAATTCATTTTGGAAAATGGTTGTAAAACGAATAATGTTCCGTGAACAAAAAGTTTAATATTATGTTTACTCTTTTTATATTTATTTACTATAAGCGTCTCGACTTCTAATAACTGAAACAAAAATCTGAATAGTTTATTGAAAAATGGAACTCAATTTTTTCTGTCGAATAATATTAATTATGTATTCTAGCTCATTATTCATTTTGTTTCTATTTTTGTACATACTCAGAATTCTATTACTAATTTACAATTTTAACCCATAAGTTGTTCCAATTTGAATAATATATCAGTAAGAGTATGGAATAGAATGATAATAGACATATTAACAAAAATAATGATGAAATTCAATCCATGGTTCGGCGTCTAACAAGCTAATTGAAATTCAAAATGGCAGATGAGAATATTAATATTTATATATATATATGTGTGTAATCTTCTCTACTGAATGCAAATATTATTTAACTTAACTAATTTACTAACAGAAAACATATGGGAATGAGGAACGCACGGTACAAGCGTTCATGTTTCTAGACGGGAATTTCGTCTTAAAGTTTTGACAGATAAGTCATATAGCAACAGCACAATTGCACTCTGAAATTCTGAAAACTATGATATATGCGCAAATCAAGTACAGATGCAATTTATTTTGATAACAAAAGCGTAATTGAATGTAATTATAAGCAAAGTTGTATAAAATCATGCAGTACACACACTCTCTATAGGTGACATTACTCCGTAGCATGGAAGTGCTTCTGACAAGTAGTCAAAACTTTATGCACGAAAAATAGGAAATTTTGTACTATCTCTAATGACCAAGCCTCAAGGCTTCCCAGACCCGAGAGTTTTCATAACTTAGTTAAATATGCCGAATGCCTTGAAAATGCAATTCATGTTTCAAAATTGTCACAGTAGATGAGACTATAAACGTTCAAGTTGCTATTAACGCACACTATAATTGTGACCAACCTACCACGTGAGTCAAACGTGGTAGAAAAGGTATAAAAAGGATAACACTCTCAAATTAGGAATATTTACAAATAGTTTCCATAGAGGGCATATACTGGCTTTGTTCTTAAAAAGTTCATCAAATGCTCTTCACCACCGAACAAATAAAAATTTGATGACAGCTTCACAATCAATCGGTTTCTGTTGAATTTGTTCGTGCATTATTTATTCTGTGAAAGGTTGCATGAATGTGTTGAGCCGCGTAAACTATCCGATAATCAGGTTAATAGTCTGGATAGAGTTACGGATCAAAATGTTACCTTTATACAAAAAATCCTGAATTTTTACAGAGAGTAAATTTTTTTTTCAAATAAGACTTTTCAATTCTTATTCATAAAGCACTCTTTTACAACAGATGAAATTAATTGTCCAACTTTACTCGCGTTTTTACCATAGCTGGTTTTTATTGCTTTGCAGATCAAGCCAGTGACTATATGGCTTGTCTATCGTTAGTTTTATAATTTAATAACTCAATAACTACAGAAGGAATATTAGTATATCTTTATGCTTTTTGTCTCTAAGCTGGCGTTGTTGATAGGTGCACGTAACTATTTGTGTAGCAGGGTAACTACAGTCTGGACTCTAAAGTAATGCCTTCTCTCCAACTATATTAACATCCCTCAAATATAATTCGCTGACTTGAAATTCGATTAAGATGCAACACTACATCTTATATAGCATTAGTCGAATTCCAGCGATTATTGGTACAAAAGGACAACGTAAATTTATTACCATATCATAGGTTTAAATTACTGTCAATGTCAACCCTTTCCAACAACAACTTAGCAACTTCTATCAACGATATTTTATATCTTTCGTTTATCCTTTTCATATAAGACTAATACCTTCATTGTCACAGACGCACTCAGGCTCTTTTTGAGAGGGCTATCCAATCGTTGACGTTCAAATATCGTTCGAACACAAAGCGCTAACATATGACAGAACCTAAATTATTGATGCGGACCGTCGAAAATTTTAAGGCCACAAATTACTGGTAAATTGTAACCGATTTATGACACTATACTTCAATCTATATAACGGTTAATGTGAAAATTTCGAATAGTAACATTCTTGGCAACTTTAAAACCATACGGCATTCTATTGCTCCCAGATGTTCGCGACGATTCTCAAATTTACACTATTACGAGCACAAAATGACCCATGTAGCGCACCGATTTAGGGTCTCCTGAGAACGCTTAAATCGTCGCGAAATCCCAGTCCACATGCAGATAATAATTTGTACAAGCCTGTAAATTGCGATCAGGTGGAGCAATCGATTGAAGTACTCTGATTATTATAGATTTTCCATTGAACCCTTCTTATAAGTTGTAGATTGGCACCGATTGATACAATCTGCTGTGTGTGTATTTGAATATATACATACAAAAATTTGTTAATTCGTGAGAGATACTGATACATTTTGCTAAATATTAATTATGGCATGTAAGATCATGTCTTACGTTTTGTATGAATTTGAGTTCATGGGAATATGTGCTTGGTGCGGAATTTTATGTCGACCGTACTTTTCGGGCAGGTTTAATTCCAATTTTAAAAAGTTAAGTTTGATTTGTGTCCCCATACCAACGTTATTTGTCAAAAGGATAGTTAGTTATACACGCGCACTTACTGCACCTCCTTTGATTGCGTTATCCAAGCATTCCGTCTTGCTCAATGCTTCACCACAAAAACAAGTTCTCTGATTGTGCAGTGTTCGGCATTAAACGGCTCGTCAAGAAATCATATTCCATCATCCTTTTTATATTACATACATTCTAAACATTTTTTTATTAACTCTATGACTCAAGCAAGTGTACAAATTTAGTTTGTTTATGCCAACTTATATATGAATAAACAACAAGATAAAAAATTGAATGAAAACAGGTAATCCATTTAGCAGATATTATTTTTGATTCGAGTAAAATAAAATGCCCCCCTTACAGACCTCTACTTATGCACGTTGCCACACACAAAATACTATGCCAAAGGAGTTGCCAGGTGATAAAGTCGAGAAGGGCAGATAATAATTAAATGGAAAATATCCATTGTTGGTGTGTTGTCAGATTAACCCGTTATTGTCAAAGAAATGAAAATATATAACAGGTATTTCAGAGCATATGCCCTTTTCTAGCAAATTAGATAGAGCTAAATCAGAATTTATTTCTGCTTTAAATTTTAGGTTTCAATTCACTCATGATTTTCAATATTTATACAGATGATGTAAGTTTTTCACTGAAAGTTTGAAACTAAGAAATTTCAGCAAATTTACAGTTTTACTACTTTTTAAAATTTTATTCTGAAGATCGAAGAAGTGTTGCAAAAGCAATCACGGAAAGAGGGAAGCAGTATAGAAAACACGATTAATATCGATTCGAACGTTGACATCACTGTCCACGGCGTGGTCGCTTAGTTAAACCAACAGATTGCAATATATTGATGGGAATAATTTTAGCATCAAAGAGAGGCCGTGAGAATGAATAAGACGGGATTTTACAATCTCTCCAATAAAAAGATTATATTTTTCCCACGATTGTGTTATCAGAAACGAAGCTTTTGTTTTTAAAGGTTTCTATGAGACACAAAATAAATCTTCATGTCATATTACAAAATTAGATGAGGTTACGTCATTCCGCCATTTCAGTCTACTTTTTCGGATAAGACGACTATGTTTCTATAATTTGATAGCGGGTAGACCCTAATAACTGCAACTGCACTCTCCAAAGGCGCCTTGGCCACTGTGGTTTATATTTTGGATCATAGCATTTGTCAAAAATTTTTTAACTTAATAATACAAAAATATTACTTTTATGTATAACTCTATACATATTTACAATTGAGCAACATGTATGCCTATTTTTAAATAGACTAGAAAACTGTGCGGTAAAAATTCGGTTCCGGATCGCACATACTATGTTTAGACTGTTAGAGAATACTGCTCCATCATAAATATATATATATAAATATATACCGGTACATATAGTTTCAGTCGCTATTAGAAGTTTAGTGTCCACCTGCTTTAATTACCTATAATTATAATCTTTATTAACATAGTAACAAACATAATGCATATTGCAAGTGTAATACAAAGTATCAATTGACGAACTCAGTGTAAATCAAATATATTACGTAATATACAAATTTTTTTTGTTGCTAATTGCAACGTTTTTAAAATTGAATTCTGAAAATAAACATAATGATTGTTTCTATTTGTTTTTACTAAAATACCGACACTGGCATCTCATGATTTTATGTTTCATTTCATTTAGAGGTTGTCTAATTTCTTTTTGAAAATATATCAGTGCTGTCACTCCTGCCCCTGAAATTCTTAAACACTTTATTTTTATGTTATTCATATTGCACACTGAAACGTTTAATTAATCACGTTTTATTTTTGAAGTTTCAAGAAATACGTCAAACGTGGTATCTTAGCCTTCGCTTCCCCCGTGCACTGAACTAACTTAAAATACTTTGTATTGGAAATCGTCCTCCAACGCTTACGGTGAATCGATAAACATTGCAACATTTAAAGACGGCATACATTTACTAAATTATAAAGTTTGATCATTTGTCGGCGAGGCTTATATGTTTATTAAAAACGATAATGCGCGGCATTGAAAACTTTA